TTCAAATCCCCCATAGAAATGCATTGATTCAATGTCTTACTATACCCCAACTGCTGACGAGGAGGTGGAGACGGAGCCAGCAAGGGTCTTTATTGCTGGAAAGAAGTGTTTAAGGGTTTTTCTTAACCCTTTACTTTGCGAGGGAGGGGAACAGACAATAACATTAGGGCAGCGGGAATACAGTACAGTTTTAGGAATACAGTTTTGTGTTCTTAACGCTATAGTTTTCCTTTAGATCATGATACAACACAATACAAACATTGTTGCATATTAAAACAACACTCTCAATTTCCCTATATTTGTATATATTCAAAAAAGTATGATGTTGTTTGTGTTTAAGCAAAAATCTAAGGTCTAGAATGCAAAGTGAGAGGCTTAGGATCTTTCTTAAAATGACAGGCAATACACGCTTTTTTGCTATTATTTAAAAATCATTATTTTTATTGTAAGCTTTGAGTGTTTGCTGTGTTACTCACAATTGTTACTGTTTGTATTAGAGACTGTAATGTACTGTTCCTTATTCCATCTTCTACAATTTGTTTCAAAATGTTCTCTTTCTAATGCCCTCCATTTAATCTAAATTGCTCAACTAAGCAAAAACAATGAGCAAGTTTAATAAACAAACACTAATAACACCACAGGAGAGAGATAATGCCCATTCTTAACCATTTTTTTCAGCTTGGTCCTTCATTTTCCAGTACTACTTTATATTTTGGTGGACCATGGTGAAAACCAACAACGTGACGGGTCCAAAAGTGGTGGAGAATACCACACAGCTTACTACTGGGAACAAAACTAAAACCAGAAAGTTATAAGACTGCAAAGCCAAGCTCTTTCACAGCACTAACCAATTGTCCCCACTTTCAGATTCAAGTTATGGTCTGTGAGATACAGTTGCATTTATTATTTGATCAAAAGGGCCAGTGTCTCTCTTTTCTGTGGTTGTGTAGCAATCCTTTCAATCTGTCAGCTTCCAGTCCATGTAGACTACTGGCTGCTCCCTCCAGAACTGAGCTGGCTGCGTATGTTTCTAATGCTGTACCTGGTAGTCTGAAGCACCATGAATAGGGGCTGTAGAAAATCCATTATTTAGAGCAATAAAACCAGATCAGCACGGGGAGGACTGGCAAGGGGGCAATTGTTCGCTGGGCCATTAGCATGAGAAAGCCCAGGAGGTCTGCAGCCTTAAACCATATTTCTGAAAATTAAAATAACAAGAGGGATGTTGGGATATATGTTGGTGCTACATGGGTAAAGAAGCAGGTGGGAATTGTGCAGGACTTTGCTAACTTGGCACTGTACTGTGTGGGTTTGTTCTTGGACTGATGGCTTGTTCTTCCAATTCCCTCCAGGCCTGGACTCCCCCCCGGGATATTTCCTGGTGGAGTGCTGAGACTGACCAAACTACGAGACTACAATAAGTTTCCCTGGACGTGCTTGCCAGTGACTGTAGAGTGAGATGATACAGTGAACATAACATTGATAAAAATAAAACACCAGTTGTCATTAGTAGCAATGGAGTTAGTGGAAAACAGTCTGCATTTCTTAAGCATGGACAGATATCTGTGTCTACTATGTTCCCTCATACTTTTCAGATTATTCTCAGAGATGTCCTGGGGATAGATGATAACTCACTATGCAGATCCCGCAGCATCCATGTGTGAAATCTATGCATATTGCATGCTCTACATGAATAGGACAACCCATGCTTGTAACAGACTTATTCCCTCTCTGTTCTGTTGTCCATACCCCCCTTGTTCATATCCCAATTGAAGATGAGTGCTCTCCTTTTTATACCCCCCCCCTTTCGAACAATGACCAGTCCCGGTCTTGTTAACTACAAAGGAGTAATTAGCTCAAGTGCTTTCACTGGGTGGCCACCACTCAAATAACAGAATACACATGCTCGAGTAAATGGCAGCCATTTTGACTCTTGAACACTGTCCTTCGAACATCTGGAACTCTTTTCAGCTACATGATTCTGCGAAACCCAAGGAAAATTGTACCGCTGACGGTTCTGCTCCCAGACCAGTTAGGAGAATGCCGTGCAGTAGAAAGGAATAACCGACTGGGGGGAGCATTCGTCGGTGTACGCACAGAAACTCCTGAAAGTTGACCAGCCGTTGCCTCTCTTTCTGTGGAACTGTTTTGGGCTATCACCTTGTGATCAGAAATTTCCCTGAATGATGATTTTGTTCTACCAAATGGATCTGTGCACTATTTGGACAACATGGGTGCTTAGATCCGGGCATAAAAGACTTGTGGGGTTTCTGTGTAGTTTGACTGTATTTTCGGGGTGTTTTGTGTATTTCATATATGATTCCCTGTAACTGAGTAACTAGTCTTTGACTCAATTATCTCCCAGTCACAGGGACGCCTGGGAGGGGTCGTGTTGTGTTGAATGGAGAGCCCATGCTGGAGGTCTTTGCATAAAAAGCCAAGTGTAGCAGAATAAAATAAGTTTTACTCCCAGAACTGTATGTCGTCCAGTTACTGGGGAGGGGGAGAGATATTCACTTTACAGCACCTTGTTCCTGAGTTCCAGCGGAGAAAAATCCTTGTCAGGACTAGAGCCTCACTACAATGCTGAGATCTGTGAGTTTTGTGCACAAAAATAGTCATACATCAAGTCTTGACAAAGGTTCATGTAGGAGCCAAAATGTCGTTCCTATTTCCTGGTTCCAAAGACTGCCTTGCAGAAGAATTCCCCTAGTGTGTCTAGACATTTTGTACTTTCTTCCATACAGAGGCAAAATGATTACCTATAGAGAAGGCCTAATGTGCGAGAGGCACTCACCACGCATGCGTAATACATCCCCCCAAATCGGATGGGGCCATAGTAGGAAGATCATGACCAAGAGTCACCGGATTTAGAACTATGTAAGTGAATAAAGAGCTATTATGACACTAGGAGACCACCACAGGGGCAGAGGAAAACGTTATTAGGAACATCCTTGTATTCCTAACACAAAATTGTTCCTTTAAGATTTATTGAGAAACATAATGCATACAAATGTTTTAGGTAATAACACCATTTTCTCAGTGTAACATTCCCTGGTGAGGGCTACATCTATATGTTCCTCAACAAATGTTAATGTACCACAAAGATGCACAACACAATATCTATAGAGCCTTTTCCTTATTTTTCTCTAGATATCTCTACCGTGGGAGTCGTAGTTTTGGAATCAAAAGCAGCTTGTGTTTGACCTCATTTTAGTTATTGTAGTACTTTCTCCCAGACAGTAGTACCCTTACTTATGACAGGGAAATGGAGTCACTGATGTGGTAGGATAAAGAGATGAGAATTTCTACATTTAATTTTATTTTTTACACCTCACAAATACTTCTTTGTTAAATAAATGGATAAATAAAACACAATATTAAAACTCTACAATGGGACATTTCTCCTTTGATGTTCATGTGCCCTGATCAACATGACTTGATTTCACTTTACAGAATACAATTGTATTTATACAGTGTGCCAGCTAAATTTGCAATACAAGTATATTGTTAGCTGAAACATAATTTCACTATACATATTATGACCACAGTCTGGCTACACTTAAAATCATGGCAGTCAACATTGGTCTCCAAGTGATGAAATGGCATTTTACAAGTCCTGGTAAGTGACTTCCTTAAGGATAACCGGTTCACTTTAAGCTCTAGATTTACAGGAGAGAGTTAAACTTCAGTGCTCCTGCTACTTTGGGCTGAAACTCCAGTGATGTCCTGTCCAAGTGCTGGAGGTCTTCGCAGAATAAGCCGGAGCTCCACAACACACAGGGTGTTAAAGGTTGAATGTTCTTGTTTTATAAACATCATGCAAGACATCCATAAGCATTTAACAAATTATAGAAACCAATGAGACTGCAGTTCACTTTCACTATCCTCTAGAGCACGTTGCCGTAGTTTTATTTCCAGACATTCTACTGTTGGGGGGTAGCGCGTCAATTCAAATTTATTAGCAAATAATCTTTCTGAATTGAGTAACCATTTCAAATCACCTGATCCATAAATGCAAACATTTCTGACGTAATGTCCTAAGGGGAAAAAGAAAGGAATACATATTTTAAAATGCTAAAATGCCCTGGAAATTCTCAATCACGCTAAATATGCTAAAAGTAGTTCTATATAATTCTGTATGAGGGTGAATAATGTTTAAGAAAGTGATTAAGCACTAAAACAACGATTCTCACATCAGTACAAATGAGGTTTAACACTTTCCCTGTGCCCCACTCGCAGACGCATTAATAAACCACTTCCGATTGAGAAAGTGCGCCCCTAGCCCCCACCCATAGGCAGTGGGTGGTAGCTTCAATTAAATATACTGGGGTGAACATACTGTTGACCAGTCCCAAAAGACTTGTGGTACTTTCAATCAGTGGAGTTTTGCAACGACTTCTCAAAAAGCTGCATTGGGAAATCAGTGAATGGATAGACACAGAAAGTCTGTGCTTAGGAAGGAGATAGCTTGCAAAAGCATCAGGCAAGAGAGCTGCAGATTTTACAAGCTGTTTTTAGATATGCTCTCAATTAAAAATTGTCCTGGGCTGGTTCTCTGGTATACTACATCAAGAGACGCCAGAGAACTATCCCCAGAGAGTACAACGAAAACCCGTCATTAGAACATGCTAGAGATCTTTAGCATTGCTCTATGCATGGTCTGCCCTTAGTTTGGCTGTCCAGGGAGACTGACAGTTAGCCTAAAGTGCATTCACGCCAGATTGGCATGACCTTTCTTTGGGCAGCCTTGCTCCTTTCCAGGTGGAACTTCATATTCAGGTCATCACTCTGCATGCCCCCATAAGCCAGTCTATCACATGTCCTCTGTTCTTACCTCTATATCTCAGGTGAAATTTTAATCCCTACACGGTCACTAACCATTAACACTACAGTATCCCAACACTAACCTCGGCACTCCTGTTAATACATTCATTTTAATGCTAAACTAAAATATCCAATACTCTAAGCTAAAAACTTTTTTTAAAATCAATTTTCAGCTAGTTTATTATTATATTGATAAAAATAAATATAATGAAGATGTGATATCTCTGTCCTAAGCATTTCCAAGTAGTTTATAACAGGTGTTATGCTAAAGTCTTTGTGAATTTTCTTTGAAAGATTTCAGTGTTGGTCGAACCATGTTTGGATAGCAAGGTATTACATGCAGCCTGTCTCATCTACTTTTGTTTTACCTGCTCCACTACAACAAGCAAATGTTAGATAATATTTACAAACCGTACATTCTTTGTACAACTAATATACTATTTTCTATCTAGCTATATTTCAATGTAATATTTATATATATGAAAAAAGTTGGGAATCTGGCACTCTTCCTTAAACTAGTATAAGGTAAATAGACCACGGTGTTGCACAGCATAATTGTAGAGGATAGAAAAAAAATGAGAACACTCAGTGGATTTGGTCCAAAAAGTAAATCATTTTGTATTCAAAATATCATCAACGTTTCGACCCTTAGGTCTTTATCAAGATCTATGTAACAGTAAATACAGTTTTTATATACGACAAAGTGCAATTAAGTGATAACTTACCCTGTGCAGGTGTTTTCACCTCAATCTGAGCTCGGGCGCTATGAAGTGTGGAGAGTGACCGTGCGTGCGTGAAGGATGTGAACGTAATGAGATAGTGTGGTGATTGCGTCTTGTTACTATGGTAACACTAACCAGCCAGTAAATATAAGTGTGATATGAATTCATGCATGAAAATCTGTTCTTTAAAAACAAATAGGAGGATACTAATAATTGATGGAAATAAGGATTTGCATCAGCGATGTGCTGAGAGTATAACGGTAAAGATATAATAGACCAAAGTAGTGGAACCCAGATGTAATAAGGTGCAGTGTAAACATTTGTACTTAATATTCTAGTACACCTGCACAGGATAAGTTATCACTTAGTTGCACTTTATGTCCTATATAAACACTGTTTTTACTGTTACACAGATCTTGATAAAGACCTACGGGTCAAAACGTTTATATTTTGAATACAACATGATTTACTTTTTGGAGAAAACACACACACACACACACACACACACACACACACACACACCTTTCAGGTAGTAAGATAATTTCAAAAGAGCCCGCTTCAACTATTGTTTCTGCATTTCAATATTTATTTTTTTGCAATTATGTTTTCTTTACTTGTGCTGCACCTCTTTAAAGGGGAACTGACACTTCTCTGGAATGTACACATGGAATAAAACTTTGTTGACCTTTTCTTGTTAGATGCTATGTTTTCTTTTAAATGTATAACAAAGGTTTAGCAAACATCATACTCCAGTTCAGAGAAGGCACAGCCAGGGCAAACATTGTAAATGAAGAAAATATTCTCTTCTCCAATGACTGATAGCCTAAGATGGAGGTGCCTAGTTGCAGAATAAAGAAGTGTGGCTGTCTACATTTAAAGGGGCACTCCAGACCCCTAATGCACTTTAGCTTGCTGAAAAGCTTTTGTGCCCTATTTTTTCAATTTGCAAAAAGTACATATATCAATAGAAATTGGCACTTTTGTCAGTTAACCTGGTTACACCCCATGGATTTCAATCAGACAGACAATCTGTTTTGTTACTTCCTGGTTTGGTTAGCTCAGGAGCTAAAGTCAAGAGGCAACAACTGCTCAGAGCAGCTGCCTTGCAAAGGCTTCTCATTGAGCGGCATTGGATGTCTGTGGTTGGCCACAGAAAGTCTGGGTGGGTTTAGAAGAGGAGGGCTTGGAAAGGCAGCAGACAAGAGAACTGCAGGTTTTTAAAGCTGTTTGTAGATATACTCCCAAGGAAAATAAAAGCATAATTAACCCCTTAAGGACCGAGGACGGTTCAGGACCGTCATCGGCATTTTTGCATTGCCGACCGATGACGGTCCTGAACCGTCCTAACGGTCAGAGCTACTTACCTGATCGCCGTCGTTCCCCCGGCGGCGATCAGCGTGGCTCCGGTTGTGGGGAGACTGCCTGCAGCCCAGACAGTCTCCCCACACTGATTTAGGACCCCTGGGGCCATGTGATCGCTTAACACAGCGATCACATGGTCACAATAGGTGTCCATGTGTCTGCCTGCAGGGGGACTGCCTGTGCTGACAGGCAGTCTCCCTGCAACTGTAAAATCAAAAAATTAAAATAAAGTATGTTAATAAAAAATAAATAATTATATATGTGTATATATAATGCCATACTAAGTGTATTTTTATATTAATATGTACTTATATTAATATAAAAATACACTTATAATTAAATTACACACGTATATATATAATATATATAATTATATATTGTATATATATATATTATAAAATATAAATAATAAGTAATTTAAATTAAATAAAAAAAAATTTAAATAGAAAATTTAAAAAAAATTATATAGCTATATGAAATTTTATTCTAACTGTATTTTAAAATATATATATATATATATATATATATATATATATATATATATTTATATAAAATACACTTAGAATGAATTTGTATATATATCTATGTATATAAAAATAAATAAAAATAATAAGAAATATACATATGTCCATATACAAAATTACATAAATAATTATATAAATATACACGTAGACTTCAAATATATAAATATGCATATATATTTAAATTCTACGTGCGTATTTATGTAATATTTTTACATAATTCAGTAATTTTATTGATTGCAATTTGAGGGACCTGCCTGCCAACCCAGGCCGAAATTCCAGAGAATTTAATTTGCTAGCACTGTATTTTACCCTGTAACGTTCTACGACACCCTAAAACCTGTACATGGGGGGTACTGTTTTACTCGGGAGACTTCGCTGAACACAAATATTAGTGATTCAAAACAGTAAAACATATCACAGCGATGATATTGTCAGTGAAAGTGACTTTTTTTGCATTTTTCACACACAAACAGCACTTTTACTGATGATATAATTGTTGTGATACGTTTTCCAGTTTTTAAACACTAATATTTGTGTTCAGCGATGTCTCCCGAGTAAAACAGTACCCCCCATGTACAGGTTTTATAGCATTTTTGAAAGTTACAAGGTCAAATATATGGGTCAAATATTTTTACATTGAAAATGGCCAGGTTGGTTACGTTGCCTTTGAGAGCGTATGGTAGCCCAGGAATGAGAATTACCCCCATGATGGCATACCATTTGCAAAAGAAGACAACCCAAGGTATTGCAAATGGGGTATGTCCAGTCTTTTTTAGTAACCACTTGGTCACAAACACTGGCCAAAATTAGCGTTCAATTTAGTTTTTACTTTTTCACACACAAACAAATATGAATGCTTACTTTGGCCAGTGTTTTCGACTAAGTGGCTACTAAAAAAGACTGGACATACCCCATATTGAATACCCTGGGTTGTCTACTTTAAAAAAAATATGTACATGTGGGGTGTTATTCAGAGATTTATGACAGATAATAGTGTTACAATGTCACTATTGATAAATTTTAAAAATGTATGTTTTGAAACCGCAATATCCTACTTGTACCTATAGCCCTATAACATGCAAAAAAAAGCAAAAAAGCACGTAAACACTAGGTATTTTTAAACTCAGGACAAAATTTTGAATCTATTTAGCAGTTTTTTTCATTCGCTTTTGTAGATGAGTAAAAGATTTTTCAAGTAAAAGTCAAAAAACATGTATTTTTTTCAATTTTTCATCAGATTTTTGTATTTTTTTTAAATTAAAATACATGAGATTATATAAATAATGGTATGTAAAGAAAGCCCCTTTTGTCCTGAAAAAAACAATATATAATTTGTATGGGAACAGTAAATGAGAAAGCGGAAAATTACAGCCAAACACAAACACCACAAAAGTGTAAAAATATGCCTGGTCGCAAATGTACAACATCGCAAAAACAGTCCAGTCCTTAAGGGGTTAAATACATGCAAGTTATGATTTGGAGTATCTTCTAAAAAGTGATTTTCATTTATTTTGCATTTGGGGAGCGGAGTGTCCCTTTAATGTTTTGTTTGTCATCATTCACAAATTATATAATTGTTAAATGTGGGTATAAGTAAACGTAAAGTTAAAAACCCAAGGGGGTAACAATTCCCCTTCAAATAATAATAATAATAATAAAATATGACATACTAGATAGCATTAACCTTTTGAGTGCTGGCAGCATAATAAATTGGGCAAATGCCTGTCCCTAAAAAGGGTCACTGATATGGCTGTAAATCTAGAGGGTTTTGAAATACAGTTACATTAGCCACACTTTCTGTGTGCTATGTCTTTCTCTCTTGAAAGTATCATGTGCACTGTTATCTATGACTTTCATACAAGAACAAAACAATGAATGCATATTACCGTGACAACCATCATGAGTCCTGTCATCACTCCATTTTATTGCCCTTAGATCACCTTCCCATGTAGCATCTGGCATGGACCCTGGAAAATCTGTTTGAGTAGTAAAAGGATATGTTGTTAGCAATGAGGACATCATTAACAAATGCAAATGAAGAAGGTCACTTGGTCAAAATTGTGTTTTCATTTTCTGCATAGATTTGGGCAAAAAGCCACATCAGAGCAAATTGTACAAATACACAAGACAGTAAGGATATCTAAACTGACATTGTTTAGTTAGAACAAAAGTATTATAGAATTACACCATTTCTAAACATATAGGATGAGCATTTATTAGCAGTAAAAAAAAATGTTTTACAAAAAACAAGTTATTTGCCATGTATATTTTGCAACATTCTGGATCCTTATTCAGGCTTGATGACCTAACTGCTGGACCATCAGAAACATCCCTTTTTTGATTGTAAAATGGTCACTGAACAGACCACACAAACAAGTTTTGTTGCTTCCCCCCCCCCCCATATAGTGTATATATGATGTTAAAATAACAACAATAATGTAAAAAGCAAGTTACCCAATAAAAATTAACTAAAACTAAACATTAATGAAGTTCTAATGAATGTTTTAATGTTCTATTATATATTATATCTGTATATGTGACAACATTCTTGTTTCATGTACCTTATGGTTACCTTTTTGGCAATGATAGGATTTTACATTTGGTTAGTCACTGGGTTCCAGCGGATACATTTCAAATACATATCAAAATGTGTTTGAAACTATTTGTTGACTGTACATAAATGTAAATACAAGGTGCAGTACAATATTAATGTAGGAAATACAAAATATGCTCTTAAAGGCAACATAATGGAGAATTTGTGTTTGGAATTTGAAGCACATTTTTGAAAGCTTAAATGGTTAATCTAGAACTTCTTATATAATGTGTATGTATTTGTTTAATCTAGAATGCCATATTGGGCAATGCTATTAGGTCCCCCTTTAATCCCTTAAGCACTGAGCCAGTTGTACAAGTTGTGATCAAAAACTAAATGTAAACAAAACCTTGAATTTGTGCGATATGTCTGTTCAGGTGTAATTCACCTCTTTTATATTATGGGCACCCACACTTATATATCGTTTTGTTCAGGAGAAACCAGGATTTCATGTCACAAATATATTTGTATATTAAACATAATTTATTATGAATAAAATATATTTTTAAAATTATATATTTTGTTTATTTTTTAGTTTTGCATGGCATTTTGAATGTCACAATACTGTTAGCTGCTACTGCAATAAAGTACACATATTTGTATTCAGCAATGTCTCACAAGTAAAACAGTATCCATAATGTACAGGTTTTATGGTGTTTTGGAAAGTTACAGGGTCAGATATAGCACATTACTTTTTTCAGTTAATACACATTGAAATTTGCCAGACTGGTTATGTTGCCTATGAGACCAAATGGTAGTCCAGGAATGAAAATTTCCCTCCATGATAGCATACCATTTGCAAACGTATACAACCCAAGGTATTACAAATAGGGTATGTCCAGTCTTTTTAGTAGCCACTTAGTCACAAACATTGGCCAAAGTTAGCATTCAGTATTTGTTGTTTGTGGAAAATGCAAAAAACTAAATTGAACGCTAATTTTGGCCAGTGAGCACTGCCTCTAGTCTTCTGGAAAAAGAAATTTACAGTAAGTAATTTGTGGTTTTCCCTTCAGATTAGAGGCAGTGCTTTACAACTGGGATATACCAAAAAACCTGCGACCAAAGTTGTATCTTCCAAGGTCATCAGACCAAATTGAGTGAAGAGACCACCTCATGGCTTTTAGGAATTCGAGAGAATGTATAGCAGAAGCCCTCAGGCACCCGATCTGAACATAACTGATCGAAGGAGCTTCAATGGAGATAGGTGTTAGATAAGAAAAAAACCAAACAAATGCAGACCTTTAAAAAAAATAAATTAAAGGTACCGTAGATGAGAACTAAACGCCCATACAGTGGAATTAGAATTTCAAGTCCCTAGCACGCTGTTGGGAAAAGTTAGAAAATTAATGATAGATGGAAGATTGGGAAGAATTAAAGAATCCAACTTAACTCCACTTTCTCCTGCTGAAAATGGAAACTTGAAGAACTTGAAGTTATTTCCAAAAATATTTTGGGCGACTACCCCCAAAGACCTAGAGAGAAGACTCAAATCAGCAGATTTAAAAACCCCAAAAGAAGATCCCATGCGGAAAATATTCCCTGAAGATAGGAACTAACCACGAAAGAGCCTAGCAGATACTGGTGATTTCGAGACAAACCTCTAAAAAAAAAAAAATAAACTGATAACCGAAATTTGATCTTGAGGATCTCTGGCTTTAAATCATCCACAAAGCCCATCCGAAATAAATAAATAAATAGGTTAAAAACTTGAAAGCAGATGCCTGCTTTTCTTTGGACCAATATCTTAAAAAACAACACCTTCCATACTTGGAAAAAACAAGATCCATTTAAGGTAAAATTGTCAATAGTTTCCTGAGACAAAACATTATCCTTCAGTATCTGGGATAAATAAACCAGGTCATCAGCTTGAATTACTACAAAGTTGAGAAGAGGTACCCTTGAGAATTCCAGGATGCCTATTTACAGGTAAGGTCCCCAAAGATTCCTCCGGATAATTTTAGATGAACGGTGAAACAGCTACTTGCCACCAAGGGAGGAAGACTATCATTCTCACCTTTTCCATCCTATAGGATCTTGGGGAATAGGTAACCAGGAGGAAACTACAAGTAAGACTGGAATTCCCAAGAAAGCAAAGGAAAACAAAGATTACTGGTCTGTCCAAGCTTGTCCAATGAAACACTTCATGCTGTTTGATCTAGAAGTCCCAGTTCCATAACTGGATAATCAAATTCTTCCTATCGTTTGGGTGAAGATCAGGGAGTACGAACCAATTTGCTTTGTATTAAATGTTGACTACTCAATGCTACAGCTAAACAGAGAAATATTAAGTTCTTTTCATAAGTGAATAGACCTAAGAAAAACTAACCCAAGCATATCCTGGAACAAGATTTTTCAAACAAGATGACCTTGTTTGTACATAATTGCTACCGATGTATAACTATCCGACCAGATCTGGACAAGATAATACCTGGTCTTTATCTGATAGGCAAAGAGAGCTAGCCAGATAGCCTTCGGTCCTATGTAGTTGGATAAGTTTTTTCAAAATATCTCTAATTTCCCTTCAACCCTATGAGAACGCAGCTGAGACTTGAAGCATCAGTCGTAAAATTCTGAAGGATCGATTTGAGAACTAGAACAAAAAGTAAGAACCGTCTGGCATCCTTCATTTCTGCCTGGTTCAGAAAAGAATGACCGAAGTATTGGATTTTACGGCAAATTCTTATCAGCAACTGTATCTGGCCTCTAAAGGACCTGTAAACAGTGCTATGCCTAAAGAAGCTGAAGAGACCAAGCAGGTTCTTACAAGACGGGAACCAATATTATTTCCCTAGTATCTTGTCTACTGAAGTAGAAGAGATATTTCAGGTGATAAAGACAGAGAGAACTGCAATTTTTTTTCTTCAGGGAATTACCATTCTCTGAGAGTCAAAAACCCTTGTCAAAATTTTTACACCTGAACTGTTCCTTGACAAACACCAGAACTGCACACTTCTTGTAAAGGGAATTCTTTATCAGAAGATTGATTAGCATCCACCTGTATGCTATAGAAGAAAAACACCCTAACCTTTAGGGGCTGGTGTACAAAAATTAATTAGGTGCCCCTGATGACGCAGTATTGTAGAGATTCAACAAATTTATGGATGGCAACATTTTGCATAGTGAGAATCTCAAGTGGCAATTGCCATAAGCTCTTTCTTAAAAGAAAACAGCAAACAAGCCTAGGTAGTAAACCATCCCTGTCATACCATATCTATGGCAGTGCATGGTACAAATTGAACCTGGTGGAACTACACCTTGATTAATAGGCCTGCAGCTGTACTAGAACTTGCTTCAAGCCCAGTAACATGAGGAAGAAATAATTTTCCATGGAGACTAGTTTATACAGGTTACCAACTTTATTGGCTGTAGCGAGACTGATTACATAGATACACCGTCTGCATAAGACAATACCCATTATCCAGGCCTTCCTTAGCCATAATTGGGAAGCAGAGGCTAGAGCAGAAAGACTATCTGCAAACTGCCTTTAAAAACCTGTTTGATGCAGACTCTGCAGGAACCAATATTAGTAAGCAATCTTATAAATTTTCAATTCCAACCATCAGCCTTACCAGACAGAGGCTTTCCTTAGCCGTATTTGGGAATCAGAGGCTAGAGCAGTCAGAATAGATGCAACTGCATTTAAAAACCCGTTTGATGCAAACTCAGCAGGAACCAATATTAGGAAGCATTTTCTTTAAAATTGCCATTCCAACAGTCAGTTAGCTCAAACCTGTCTTTGTAACTGACAACATAGGACTTGGAATTTAAGACAAAACATAAAATGTGCAACCATGGAGTGAAGCACAGGGTAAAGTTCTGCCCCAGCTGAAAAACAGACTGCCTTTTTAGAAACTGATATCAGGTGAAACTAGTTGAGGTGGTGAGTGCTAATTGCAACAGAGCTTTCTCTACAGCAATTGCTAAAAGCCTACTGCATGTTTAAAGAAAATAAGTCCTGGAAACCTAGGATCCTGGCATTTAAAGAAACTATCTGCTACAACAGTATATTAACTTAACCAAAACCATCTTTTAAATATCAGCCTCCTAAGGATAACATACAGAGGATAATCCTCCAATAGTCATACGGGTCTTGCTCCTGTGAATATATTCCACCGGAACACTTCACTTTAATTGCTGACCCTGTTGCAGCAATTAGTGATTATTGAAAACCATATTAACTAATCACTATGTGGCAGCTATTTTAAGCCAGAAAGGAAACTTAAATTTACCAAATAGAATTATGTAAAAGTATATTCTTATCTAATACCCTTTATAGGCTTTACTCAAAGAATAATCTATTTTTTAGAAGAAGAAAACCAAGAATCTATTATGGGTCCGATCTATTAAGTGCTTACACTTTTAAAGCACTATTTGTTTTAAGATTTTAGGAATAATCTTTAAGTGATGAGAAGCTAAAAACACTCCAACTTAGAAACATTTGTGCTTTTTTAGCTTATCCATCTTGCAGCACAGATAATTAACTTATTCAGGCTAGAGTAATTTAAGATAAAAGCAAAAAGGCTTACCTTAAATGTCCTCAGAGTGTGTAGGAGGTTGGTGAGAACACACTTGCAACAGATTCTGAGTGCACCTGGCAACAGTTAGTTGCTGCTGGGTAAACAGCCTCTCTAAGTCCTGGAAACCAATATCTTGACCCCGGAGAGAAAAAATAATAAAGATATTGGCGCCTGAATTTTAAATCGCATTACGCATGTCCTGCATTTCGCGATTCCAAGGTGGAAATAAACGTAACCTGTATTTCTGTTCCACCGCCAGGACTTCCCAGCTAGTGCCCAAATGCGCACCATTGTCTGCCCGGCACCTGGCTCGGTATAGTCAGAAGTAATACAACCCGGGGAGATACAGCCGCCTGGTGTGTTATCCCTGGCTGATCTCTGAAAACTTTATTTAAAAGAAGTAGACCCTCCAGAGCCTCAACCCTCTCACCATACTTCTAGGGAGAAAACCTGAACCTGACACCCTCCTCTGCTGGAGGCAGGCAAAGAACTGGGATGTCTTGGGTAGGAAGCAATTTATAAGGCCAAAGGTTAATTGGGTGAGGTTCTTGAAAAGTTTGGGAGATTGCCTGCCTGTTTTTTCCCTCTAGGTGATGAGATCCCAGTTGTAAAGCACTGCCTCTAATCTTTATTCAAAACGTATCCATAAAATCATCACACCAACGTTTCAGCCCTCGTCCGGGGCTTTCCTCAGGATGAACTGACAATACAAGACTAAATAACAGTACCATATTATATACCCATTAAAAAAAAATTAACTCACCACAGGTGAATGTGTTCTGTGTATCGGCGTCTCCCCAGACCTTGTGCGCATGTGCGCGCATACCAAAACCGGAAATAGTAAAAGCGTACGTGACTCGGTTACTATAGTAATGTACTGACGCCAGAAACTGCCGTGATAATATAGAAACAAAGACAAAGTGTACGGAATAGATTGAAACACCAAGTGCTCAAAAGAATCAAAGTTATACAATATATAATGCAAATATATTATGCATATATAAGGCCTATTGCAGGCACAGTAATAAATCCACCCTTTTAAGATAATTATGCGGAAACTGCTGGTACAGCAGGATCGCTGAAAAACTATAGTGTTATGAATAAATGTAAATGACGTGTACTTATGTATAAAATGCTGTGTTGCAACATAAGTGTTGAATTCAAAGAAGTATTACCTATATGTAATCTTTGTGAATAAAGTTTTACAGTGCTGTCCTAAAGTGAAACAGTGACAGAGAAACAATGTATTAAAAACAAAATCAATTATGTAGGTATAAACTCATACAGGTCGACAATTTACATCTTCAAACTCTACTCACTACTCCATGTAGTGTATATACACACATAATTATCATGCTGCCAACCAATTACTTTTAAAATGATGGTGGCTTCATCATAAACGTTTTAGGAAAATATATATAGAAAACATAATATAAAAATTATATATAATAACAATAGAAAAATAAAAAAATCCAAAAACTTTGTTATGAAAGTTTTTGGATTTTTTTATTTTTCTATTGTTATTATATATAATTTTTGTATTATGTTTTCTATATATATTTTCCTAAAATGTTTATGATGAAGCTCAAATGAGGAGCAGTAAAACTAGTCTATTTATCTATTATATTTTTATGGTTACTTTTTTTTTATGGTTTCTTCTCACTATAGATGTAAACATCCAAAATAATTGGATCATTTAATTTCGCTACAATTCATTATTTTTAAAATTTCGGTATTGAAAAATCTGACACAGCAAATTAGAGCGCTGTTTAGCAAATAGCTTAAATATGCTAATCCCAGATAAGGGTACAAAATTAGGGAGCTGTCTACTACATACAGCTGAAAACAAATCAGAATTAATAAAAAATGTTTTTTCCTTATTTTGATATCCAGTTTGAATGCAGTTGTTTAGTAGATAACTTCTTAATTTGGTATCCTTATGCGGATTGCCAGAGCTTTTCTTCTGTTTGTTCTTTCAACTGTTTAGTAGATAACTCTATAATTTGTTATCTTTGTGTGAAAAATAAGGTAGCAAGTTAGGGAGCTATCTATTAAACAGCTGAAAGAACAACATTTTAAAAAGGTCCCTTTTCATAATTTTGCTGTTTCAGTTTCTTAATATAGAAGTTCCTAATTTGCTATCCTTATGAAAATGAATGGATCTGAAATAATTTGTTTCAATTAATTCCAAGTTCATTCATTTTGGTTCATTTCAGATTGTAATACATTTGGACATTTTGAAGCTTCTAAATTGCCAAATTTGTCTGAATACACATTCGGAACAAAACAAAATGGACATGCCTACTTCTCACTTAACCTGTGAATAAAATTAACAGTTAGTGGCTGTCGCCCTAAGCATCAGTCATCTTTGTTCCCATCAATCATCTCTTTTTTTGGGGGTGCCAAGGACAGAATTCTGAATCATAAATTAATGAAACAAAACTGTCCATCCATTGTCTATGTTGTTTGTTTAGTTATAAGCCTATATGGTGCTTTGGAATAACGAAATTCAGACAACTCGCAGATTTCACAAAATTCTAACAAACTGCAATTTTTTTAAAGTGAATACAGAAGTCTGCTGAGCACCCCTAAACCTTATCACAAGGGCCACCATCAAAATTATTAGGAACCATACAGACCCACTGGGTGTGCCCCAGTGTCAGGATATAACAAAATACTTTCTCAGCAATAAAATAAGTCTGCAACCTACCAAAGGCAAAGTAGGAAAGCCACAATAGGACCAGCACTGCAGAATCTGTAAATCTATAAATACCAGTAATAAATAAATAAATAGAAACTGGCTCTACCAAAAGCAAAGTAGGAAAGCCACAATAGGACCAATGGCCAACTTATTTCTTAGAATAGAAACTGGCTCTATCAAAGGCAAAGTAGGAAAGCCACAATGGGACCGGTGGTCAGGCTTTTTTCTTAGAATAGACACTGTCTCTATCAAAGGCAAAGTAGGAAAGCCACAATGGGACCAGTGGCCAGGCTTAATTCTTAGAATAGAAACTGGCTCTACCAAAAGCAAAGTAGGAAAGCCACAATGAGACCAGTGGCCAAGCTTAATTCTTAGAATAGAAACTGGCTCCAAGCCACATTGATAAACACATGCAACTACACATACACAACAAGCAACATACACATACATTGCTACACACACTAACATACTCACTCTACAGCCTCTGCTACACACAAACACTAAACACATGGAACTACAAATATACATAACTAAACACACACCCAGCTACATGCTTATACATTACTATACACACGCTACATACACACCCAAACGTGCTGTATGCACAAACATTAAAACTGATGTTTTATTTAGCCACCATAATTTCAGCCACCATAATTTCAGATTGGGGCAACTGCTTGGAAATCTGGACATTGACAGAGTTATTTACTAAATGCTAAATTTCCGCTAATTTTAAATCTGAATGGAAAAACTGAGACAAAAATTTATTTCGTTCACCAAGTTAGAAAAAAGTTACCATTAGAGAGAAAACGTGAGAAGCAGTAAAAAAATAAATAAATCTATAGTCATAAAATTATTTATAAATACATATAGATTTATTTTTTTCCCCTCTATTGGTCACTTCTTACTTGTTCTACGAATAAAATCAACATTTAGTGACTATCCCCTAGCCATTATTCATGATTTTTCCCACCAACCATCTCTTTTTTTCTGGCCTCATTCCGATTGGAATTGACTTTAGTAAATATGAGAATTGACATTTCAGTTGGAATTTAGTCATTTTTACTGGATTTTGATTTGGAAAGACAAGGCAACTGTAATCCAGGATGTATATAAATTTCAGGGCATTGTGCATTAGCAGTTACTAACAGGTTCTTTATTCAGACCTTATTCAGTCTATAATGTAACACCAAATAAATAAATATTCTTTATTAATAATTTTATGAAATATTTCATTTTTGAAAACCGACTAGAAGAAAATGATTAACTGCACTGCATATTTTTGCATTTTACAGTCTCAAAAGTTGTATTAAGTAAAAATAATATTTTTAAGTTTTAAATAGTTTTAGTTTTGGCTGCTTTGTTCGAATAGTATACCAAGACTTTGGATGATTGCATGGTGCAGGTTATTATTTATTACTTAACTATCAAGTATATAAGGTAGGAAAATTCCTTGATATCATGGCAGTCCTGACTTTTAAATGATTGTGCAGGAGACAAAATGTGTGGTGACAAGGTTCACGTTAAGTAAATATAAAACATTAATCGATACTGACAGCAAAAGACAGATTTACTTGAAGTTTGCTCCCTGCTCACATACATCAGTGCACTTTAATTATATTCATAAATCAATGAACTGTCCGGTCTCTAGCCACTTGCACGTACCACCGTTCTGAAACCATCACAAACATCTCAGACATGATCGACTCTATATAAATGAATAGCCGGATTCACAGAGCCACACGTAACTTGAAATAAAAGGGGCATTAGCCATCGGTATAAAACATGTAGGTATTAAATCATTATTTTTTATAGCTGCATAGAGCAAGAAAAAAAATAATGAAGAATACAAAATCACACCTAGTGAGTTTTATTTAGTAACTTGTGCTTAAAGGAACACCCCAATCATCAAAACCATTACAGCTCTCTGCAGTCTATATGGTGCCTGGAGTGTCTTGGCACCCCTGCGTGGTTAAGAAAAAGCCCATATACTGGGTGAAATGTGTAGATACAGGTTGTTTGGATTTGAGTGGTGCACGACAATCGGGCGAGTGGATGCACCAATGCTTCACCATAAGAAGTGTTTTGTCTCCCGGTTTGCTGAGACTGACTGAACGCTGATGGTAACTCTGCCTATGCTATTTATGCAATAGAGTGATTTTCGTGACTTTGTGAGTCTGTATAATATACTGCTTTAGTGTGCTTTTTCAATAAAATTTACAGTGCAAGTCTATTGAACTTTCTCTGGTTTCTTTTGAGGTATACTGGCTAAGTACCAACGAAAGCCAGATGGACACGTTATTGATGTATACATCAGAATTAAGACATATTGTATGTATATCAAAAATGTAAAGTGTTGGAGCAATAAAGATAAAGATAAAAACACAACCTATTCAAACTCCTTGAGAGGAGCACTTTTCTGGTAAAACTCTTGTCAAAAAAAAAAAGAGGAGACAGGAAAGGGGATGCTGCAAGTATATAATAAAATACCACTAACCTACACACATCCAATGGGAAAAATATAAAACATAAGAAAAGACTGTGCCCCCCCTCCAGAAATAGCTCTTAACACAAACTCATGCCCCGCAATATAGACTTTTTTGTGGCATAATTAACAAGTGACTATGCAATACAACATATAAAATTAATTAAACAATTTATTGATAATGCATCTTAAAAAACATTGAAGTGATATTAAAAATAGGTGCATATGCAGGAAAAAAAAATAAAAAAATTTTTAGGATTCAAAATTTTTAATAATCCAAATAAGTAAAAATAATCCAAATAGATAAAAAATGGTTTCACCTTCCCTGTTTAGGTGCCCACTGCCTCCTGTATAGTAGTTAATCAGGATTCAGGCCTCCTCAATAGCTTCTGGACAGCTTCTGACACTGTTTGTAGTGAAAAATCATTGAGGTTCACTCTGGCAAGGATAGTGTTAAATCCTTTGCTCAAATGCTTTTCGCCTGTGCTGGCTTAATCAATGACACTAGATTGCAGCTCTCATTTCACTGCATATATAGGTTGTCTGCACAACCATGTGTGCAGACTCAGTATGTTCATTGAGGAAACAGAACAAAAAAAATACAAGGTGCATCAGAAAGATATAATAGACCACAAAAATCTAACTGAACAATGAAAAGGTACAGTGAAAAAACCCAATAAAAATACCAAAGGAAAAAGTTGTCGTAAAAAAAAAAAAAAAGGTCTTCAAATGTTCATGTGAAGTTCTTGATACAGCTCAATTCAACAACAGTCTATGAAAGAAAGCAAAAGACAGAAGGAACCAATAGTGTAATATGGCAAGCCAAGTGAGCTACAAACAACACTGAGGTATAGAAATGCTAACTCACATATAAGAGAGCTATGACCAGCTCTAGGTAAAACAGTGTCTAGTGGTATAAAACTACCCACTTGCAGGATATCCCTCTGGTGGTTGTTGCAGTGTAGATCATATGCAATAAAAGAAAAATAAGCCAATAATGCTCTCTTTACAGGTAAGTATAAATAGTAATAGGAAATATACTTACAATACAAAAAGCAGACAAGTCGCTCCATGTGCCAGGCGTGGGTGGAACAATCCCCACCTTGCATTCGTTTGATGATAATTCTGGTGCTTTAGATGATAAAAACTTTGGCAGGTATAAGGTGAAACATAAAAATAATAAAAGGTTAAAAACTAGCCACTTATTGTAAAGTAGTCAAAAAATACTTTTATTAACAGAGTAATATAAAACCACAACGCATTTTGCACTATCGTGGCTTTCTCAAGTCGAATAAAAACCTTACAGAGCTATCACAGAGACGCTCAGAGACAATACACCATACAAGTGGGGATACCGAAAGTGGTTTATACACCATGATGGCAAGGAGACTCACATAACTTCGGTGGAAGAAGGTGTCCATATCCTAAATTCCTGGAGCATGGGCTCAGGTCATCCTCTACAGGAAACACCGAGACTATCTCCAGAGTGGAGGCAACAACACAAGCTATCATCTAGAATTTCAGTTTTGTTTTAGAGACATGGCAGACTACCTGAGCGGCTCAATTACGTCTGATAGCTCCTAATATTATATTACACAAATTTTTAAAACTAGGCTGTTTATTAAGCCTTCACTTTGCCTTGTAAGGGTTATGTACCCATGAAACTGAATCCCAATAAAGGATTATGAGTATAGTACTCAACCTAGTATAAGCAGATTCCAGAGCACACATTTCTAAAAGAGGTTAAGTTACATATCTCTCAGTTAGCTAGTAAAACATGCATATTTTTTCTGTGTCTTCAAATGCATTCTTTATATGTAATTTTTTTTACTGATCAATGGCTTTGTCTGGAGCAGGCTGTTGGCAGCAAGCTACATACTAGATATCACAATCTCCCCCACAAGGTACCTTGACAGGGACTATGCCTCAAAATATTGCCATTATGGTATTTTCTGTTAATGTTTTTGTTATAGTTCGGGCAGTGAGTCGAGTAGGCACTCTTGCTATCTCTTCTTACCCCAAACTTTCTTCCTTTGTCCTAAAACATTTATCACCTTGTATAGAATGAATAAAATCACCTTGATAGTTCCCATATACATGGTGGCCCTACAGTCCAGATTTCTGTTCATACAAGCAGTTTCACAAATCAGGTTTCAGTGGAAATAGGGAGGGTTGAGGGCCAAGCTCAGTGTGTCCTTGTTTACACCCTTGGGGTGTAGTGAGATAAAGGATATACATAAGCTACATTTGGATGCCTTCACAGTTTGATACTGGTCCTTTTTGCACCACAACATGAAGATCTATTCTCGCAATATGAGGTCTAAATGCCACAATTAAAAGACATTCCCTTTCTAGGGAATATAGTCTGCCTCCAAGTGACCCACTAAACATAGACCCCTGATTGAAAATGATTATCCATTCAAGTTCCATGAAAATTTCTGTGTTGCCCAAATTGCAATATTTATGTTGAACATTACAGTACCCCTCCAGATAAAGTTTTGGCAGATATTAAAAAACTGGTCACTAACTTTAGATGGCAAAATAAAAAAAATAAAGGTGACAACAAGAATCCTGCAGAGACTGGTGATGGAGCATACTGGAGAGTATGATACAACTGCACTCACATGATTTTTAACCCTAATGGGTAAAGATAGAATCTTATTGATCTAGCCCACAAGAATGCCACTATTCCTTATGGGTACCTACATGTATGAGATCAGATAAGCTGATGCCACTCCCAGCTACACTGCTTTCTCTAAATGTGTGTGATCAGCACAAATTTTTTTTTAATCTAAAGATCCCCTATATCTTCAGCAACTCCTCTGTGCTCTATAGCCATGAGTTTATCCACCATCTAACATGGGGTTAATCACTGCAACCAGCTATGTGAGAAGGGTAAACTCCAACTTTTTCCAGATTAGAAATGCTCTTTCATCTACCCTCCACCATGGTATTCTCATCCTTGCAATTTAAATCTTACTTGAAAAAACAATCCTTTCCATGGGGAAGAACTCCCTGTATCGACTTTTAACACTGTTTGAAAAAAATGTGCATGAACATGTGTATACTTAAGAAGCCAAAGTCAATTGCTTCTCCCTGAGACCTATTCTTTATGAAAGCCTGTCAAACGGACTTAAAAAGGAGATACCCCAGGAGAGTAAGTCACAAATTTTCCGAGCCTTGCCTCTTGTGCCTCACACTTGGAAATCATGATTAAGATACTCTATAGGTTGTATTTAGTTTCGGTAAGGTTGTCCCATTTATTTCCCTCTCGCTCAGAATGTGCCAGGAATGGAAGGGGATCCAACACGCAGAATGTAGACAAAAGGTAACGTATACCGGACCTTAGAATGGTCAGACAAACCTTAGAAGAACAAAGACTAGTCAGAGTCAAGCCAAGGTCAAGGTGTACAGAGATCAGGGTAAATGAGAATATTAAAGCTGGGCCAAAGGAGTATAGAATGGAGAGTGGTCAAAACAGAGCCGAAGTCATTAACCAGAATACAGAATACAGATAAAGCACTATTGGGAACAATAATGAACCACAACAGGTCAATGAACCTTGCCCACTGAGTCCTTTTTATACTGTGGTTTGTTAGGATGGTAGCCATGCCCCAAAATGTCCGAATCCGAACATTTGTGGGCCATGATGTCATTAACGTCATGGCATCAATGCACCCAAGCCACATCATAAAAGGGGGCTATCGCGGCTGGCGTGAAAACCACTGGAGAATGAAGAGGGATGCTGGAGAGGATCCTTCTCCTCCTGTAACAGGTGAGTACCATGGGGGACATCCTTGGTCATCACAGAAGGCACCCTGACAGTACCCACCCTTCCAGAACCGCCTACTGGGCGGCGGAAGGGCCCTGGATGAGACGGAAAACGGAAATGGAAAGAATGGAGAAAAGGAAGAGCATGGCTATCGGAACAGTCAACCCAAGACCTGTCTTCAGGACCATAGCCTGTCCAATCTACCAGATATTGCAATTTTACCATGAGTGAAATAAGAATCAATAAGATATTGGATCTCGTATTCCTCCCAACCCTCCACTTGTACTGATGAATGGACAACAATATGAATGGTAAACCTATTACAGGTCAAAGGCTTTAATAAAGAGACATGAAACACCTTAGGAATTCGCAAGGTCGGGGTAAATCAAGATGATAAGCAACAGGGTTAATACGGGCTACCACCTTATAAGGACCAATAAACCTAGGTGCCAGTTTCATAGAAGGTACCTACAGGTGGATGTTTCGTGCTTAACCAGACCTTATCATCCGGTTGAAATACAGGTACAGCACGTCTACGCTTATCAGCATGTTTTGTATCGAGGTTGGATTTGGATCAAGGTGTACATCAACCATCGGCTTTCCCTGCGATAAAAACGCGGATGGGAGAACAACTGGATGAAAACCATAATTTAAGAAGAATGGGCTGAGTTGAGTAGCATCGGAAAGTAAGCTGTTGTGTGCAAACTCAGCCCAAGGAAGCAAGCCAACCCAGTCATCCTGATGAGCAGTTACAAAACATGAAAGGTATTGCTCGATCTTCTGATTAGTATGTTCTGCTGCCCAGTTAGATTGGGGGATGATAAGCTGAAGAAGAATTGAGAGTTATACCCAATTGTTTACAGAAAACCCTCCAAAATTTTGAGAAAAACTTCGAAACCCATGTCAGATATAATTTCTCCAGGTATTTCATGGATCCAGAATATTTCCCTGGCAAAGATCTTCAGGTGAAGTGGATATCTTCGCCAGAGGTATGAAATGCACCATCTTGATGAACCTGTCAATGACAGTCAAAACAATGGTTTGCTTTTTGGAAGCAGGTAAGTCGACAATATTGACCCAGGGTTTGTTAGGAATAACTAAGGGTTGAAGCAGGCCACATGGGAAAGCATGAGACAGTTTGGTTCTCGCGCAAACATTACAAGCTGTGGTGAAAGCCACGTCACCACTGGGTTTTGGAGAGGACTACTTGCCAGCCTTTTACCTTGTGATTATGGCCCTGCAGCCTTACAATTTTACAATCCAGTATCGCCCCAAAGCAGAGTCCGGACATCCCCAAGTTAATCCGAAAAGGGTTAATCCAAGTCTGCCGGGTGTTCTTCAAGAAGGGAGCATTGTGACAGATCCTCTGTCTTGGGGTTATAAATCTATCCTCTGGTTTGTCTGTTTGTTCACCTAAAAACCCCTTCCATTCCCCTTGCTGGTTCGTCTATTTGTTCACCTAAAAACTCTTCCATTCCCTTGCTGGTTCGTCTATTTGTTCACCTAAAATCTATTCCATTCCCTTGCTGGTTCGTCTATTTATTTACCTAAAACCCCTTCCATTCCCTTTCTGCAAAATGGCACTTCGGATACAGTCGAAGTGTTGAAATAGTCGAACACGTCGCGGCGGCCATCTTATTTAGTCAAACATGTTCAGCTGTGTTTTGTCGTCAAGTTCATGGAACTCAAATCGGATACACAGCGGCACGAACACCATTGAACAGTTACCTTCCAGTCAAATTTGACTATTCATTCGTATAGTCGAACAGCGTTCGGTGAATCGAAGCCCACGAACAAGAGACACACTTTAACTATGGCCATTCACTGACTGTTTTAAGTAGACCGGCTGCACAGCCTAAGTCTCTGAAACTATTTTGGACATGAAATCATGCGTGGGGTCGGTCAAAAGAGACTTCCATGAACTTCCTGAACCCCTGCTCTGATCTGGGTGACTTCTGGATATAGTGTTCACCCAGATCAGGGCTATCAGGGGATATATGTTATGTTTTGGGGTGTTTTCTTTTATAGTTTGTGTAAAAATGTGTTTTTTTCTGCCTGGGGATAATTAAGTTAGTACATTATGTACCTTAATTATATCACAGGCAGAGGGGAGGGATTGTGTGCTGTACGTGGGAGTGTCGGACATTGTTATATTGTTCTTATTGGTCTGTATAGTTTGTAGGGGTTGTGCCTCTGGCCTGAGGAATTGTATATAAAGCAAACCTGTACCATTAAACCTTCAGACCTCTTCACCCTCAATACTGAGTTCTGTCTCTTATTGTAGGGAGCTGCGATATCACTACTAGGGATTGCTATACTTGTTTTACTCCCTTGGATAATCACTAGCTCTTGTAAGAGCTGTTACTGTTTTGCTCTCCTGGAGGAGAGATCTTTCCCACACGGTCCTGGATGTCAGCGGTTGGTTCAGGGTGGGAGGAAAATGGCGAGATTCCAGTTAAGCTACGTTGCAGAGTCTGCGGTACTGATGGTGTCCAGTGCGGTGCTTATAGACCTCGGAGCCTGCTAGGAAGCACCCGTTGACGGAGGTGCCCTGTTACACAAGCCTTAACATATTCCTTATTATCCTTTCGCAATGAAGGCCACCAGAAGTCGTTGGCAATTAAGGAATATGTCTTGCGAATACCTGTATGGCCTGCGATCTTACGGTTATAAAAATGGACGAGTATCTTATTCTGGTGTTCAGGAGGAACATATAGACTTCCTTCTGGGATAACCCCAGGTGCTTGTGACTGTTTAGCAACAATTTCTGTCACCAGGGGAGACTGAATCTTGATACTAGTATTCACTATGATGTGTTTTTTTGGGTACCACAGAAGATACCTCAAAAGCAGAATCAGCAAGAGGTTCATATTGACAGGACAATGTATCGGCTTTAGAATTCTTCTAACCAGGTCTATACATTAACATGAAGTTAAATCTTGTTAAAAAAAAGGGTTCATCGGTGTTGCTTAGCAGAAAGATGTTTGGCCTCTCCAATATAGGAGAGGTTTTTATGATTTGTTAGGATAGTCACTGGAAGTAATGTACAGGTGTCACTATTCTTTTAAGGCTAGGATTATAGCAAGGAGTTCTCGGTCTCCTATGTTGTAACGTTTTTCTGTTTCAGATAATTTTTTAGAAGAGAACCCTCAAGTATGTAGTGGTAGGTCAGGACTTTATCGTTAGGACAACACAGCTCCTACACCAGTCTCTGAAGCATCTACCGCTAACAGAAAGGTAGACTAGGATTAAGATGCACTAAAACAGGGGCAGATGCAAAAGATGTTTTAAGCGTCTCAAAAGCCTTTAATGCATTGGAATCCCATCTCTTTTTTATTCTCATGTTCGTTATTGGGGCAACTATAAATGAAAAACCCTTTATGAAGCATCTGTAATAGTTTGAAAATACTATAAATTATAAATTTGAATAGACTTTAACCCATTAGGTAGTGGCCATTGGAGTATGGAGTCAAATTTCTCAGGATCAATAGCAAACCCTTTTCCTGAAATCACATACCCGAGAAAGCTGATTTGGTGTTGGCCAAAAAGGCATTTTTCAAGTTTACAGTGCAATCCATTTTGTAACAATTTAGTCAATACTTTTTTAACTTGTCTGTGATGAGTTTCCCTATCTTTTGAATACATCAGAATATCATCTGGGTATACTATTACACACTCTTGATGGAATTCCCTAACACTTCATTGATGAGGTCTTGGAAGACAGCCGGGGCATTGCATAGCCCAAAAGGCATAACAGTGTATTCATAATGCCCATAAAGAGTGTTAAAGGATGTCTTACACTCTTCCCCCACACGAATCCAGCTTAGTAAATATTTTGGCTTCTTTGAGTCTATCAAACAACCCCATAATTAAAAGGTATAGGATAAGCATTATGTATAGTAATTTTATTCAATCCTCTATAATCTATACAGGCTCTAAGATCATCTTTTTTCTTGGATACAAAGAAAAACCCAGCCTCTGCTGGAGAAGAAGACCTTCTAATAAAACCTATCCTCATATTCGCTGTAAAGTATTCTTCAAAAATTGAGTTCTCCTTGGCAGAAAGGGGGTAAACAGTACCTTTAGGTGGCATAGTACCGGGTAGAAGGTTAATGGCACAGTTGTAGGATCTATGAAGAGGTAATAACTCAGCTTTTCCCTTTTCGAATACTGCCCTTAAGCCAAGATATTGTTTGGGTACTTCTGTGGATAAAGGAGACATAGTAGGAACGTTGATAAGGTTAAGGGTTTTTTGTACTTGCGTAACACAATTCTGAAGACAACTCTTACTCCAGGATACAATATCACCTTTTTCCCAGTCTATGATGGAGTTGTGTTTTTGTAACCACGGGAACCCCAATACTACCAGAAAAGACGGGAAGGTGATATGTTGAAATACACCTATTTCATGGTGTAACTCCGGTTATCATGTGTGAGGGGATGGATTTATGAGAAATCACAGGCACTTAAAGTGGTCTACCATCTATGGCCTCAACGGCCAAGGGTGTTGTCCTTAACCGGGAAGGAATCGATTGTGAGGTGGCAAAACTTTGATCTATAAGACATTCTGCTGCCCCTGAGTCTATCAAAGCCATAGTTTGTACCCTGCTTTTCTCCCAGATTAGGTGATGGGGATAAGAAGCCTGTGATCTTTGTGTTTTTTGAAGGAGGACAAAGAGAAAACACCCAAAGCCTGTCCTCCAAAGGAACTTAGGTGCAGGAGTTTTCTGTCCTGCTTGGGCATCGCAGGCGGAGAAGTCCTCTTTGTCCGCAGTACATACATAAGCCCTCCCTCCTTCTGTACTGTTTCTCTGCTTTGGTTAGCCTTGTTACCCCCCCAATTGCATACTTGTTTGGGTACTGCCATTGCCATTGAATTAGGAGGGTTAAAGGCAGGAGCTAAATGGACAGAGGCCCTCTCTGGTGTTTTGTCTAAATCGCATGCGTTCATCTATAAGTGATATAAAGGATATCAAATCCTCTAGGTTTTCTGGTAACTATCTCACCCAATATCACATCAGACAAACCATTAAGGAACACGTCTACAAAAGCTTGGTTGTGCCTGAATTCCTAAATATGCCTGAATTCCATGGCATTGTCGACCAAAGATCTAGTACCTTGCGAGACAAAGTAAGGTTCTGGCAGCACTGGCTTTCCTACCGGGGGGGTAAAAAGTGCATCTAAATGCAGCTACGAAAGCAACATAATTGTACACCAATGGATTCTCATTCTCCCAAGGAGGATTAGCCCAGGTTAATGCTTTATCGACTAACAGGGTAATAATGAAACCAACCTTTGCTCTATCTGTAGGATAAGAATGTGGTTGTAGCTTGAAGTGTATGCTAACCTGATTCAAAAAACCCAGACAGGCATCAGGTACTCCACCATAACGCAATGGTGATGTAATATGCGATGAAGCCCCAACAGTAGCAACCTCTAATCCCATGGGTACAGGAGACGTAGAAGGGTTACAACCTTCTTCAGGTCTGGGGATGGACCTATTCATAAGGGTCTGTAGCGCTAATGCTATTTGATCCATATGATTATCTATTTCCTCAAAACGGGTATCATATGGACCCCCTTGAGAGCCTACACCTGCTGGATCCATCAAGACCCAGTTGTAATGTCAGAAATGGAAGGGGATCCAACACGTGGAATGTAGACAAAAGGTAATGTATACCGGACCTTAGAATGGCCGGACTAACGTTAGAAGAACAAAGAGTAGTTGGAGTCAAGCCAAGGTCAAGTAATGCAGAGATCAGGGTAAACAAAAATACTAAAGCCGGGTCAAAGGAGTATAGAATGGAGAGTAGTCAAACAGAGCCAAAGTCAAAAATCAGAATACAGATAAAGCACTTTTGGGAACAATAATAAACCACAACAGGGCAATGAACCTTGCCCTCTGAGTCCTTTTTATACTGTGACACGTTAGGATGGTAACCACGCCCCCAAAACGTCTGAAACATTTCGGCGGGCCGTGACGTCATTAACGTCATGACGTCGATGCATCTGCGCCGCGTCATAAAAGGGGATGGGGCTATTGCAGCCGGCGTGAAAACCACTGGAAAACTAAGAGATGCTGGAGAGGATCCTACTCCTCCTGTAAGTGGTGAGTACCATGGGGGACATCCCTGGTCACCACAGAAGGCACCCTGACAGAGAGGTGCTGGAAATGCCTACAAGGACCAGTAAGTTTTTCAGTCTTTTTGAATGGCCAGAATCTATACCATGTATAGACCAAAATTTTCTATTGAATATGTTGATTGAGGACTTCTATGTCCTGGATAGAAGATTGGAGGCCACAATCGGTCTTATAAAAACATGGCACAATATCAAATGTCTCCAAATCAAACAACTTTAAAGGCTACGGAAAGGTGGGAAGCATTCCTAAAAACCAATGATGTACAAAACTATGATGCTTGTCAGGTAGTTAAAGGCACTGATTCAGTAAATGCAGCTGGATCATTGGTACCATAATTCTAATACTGCAATATGGTGATTCAACGTAATGTTATGTTCTACTACATAAATACAACGACTACTGCATGAGGATTTAAGACGGAGTTGAGGAACCAAGCGAACAATGGTTTTTTTTTTTTTAACAGATTTGTCGTATTCTCGTCAACATGTTTTTTATTTATTTATCCCTTTTTACTTTTCTTTCTCCCTCTTCTTAACATTCACATTAATTATGTAATACTGCAATTAGTACCATGTGCACGTTTATTGAAAACCCATAAAAATATCAAATTAAAAAAACAACAGCTTATTACTTCAGAGTTTTTCTTTACTATTTCTCTATTGTATACCTAATGTTTTTGACTTACAGATTACTCTTTGGTGAGGCAAGTTTTGAAATGACAATTGTCATTGGCCCCATATTGTTTAACTATATTCTCTCTCACAATGGTGAGCTTTTAGCACCCTGTATGTTTTGTTGCTAGGAAGAAATGGGTATGTGGGGAATTTTTAATTGGTTACTGGCAAATCAATCTCTGTCCTTGTCTATTGTATTGTCTACTTTAGCCTCCTGAAACTAAGTCCTCTTCTATCAAAGAATATGTAAGCGATAATAAGAGAGCCAGGTGGTCTTTTGTCCCTGTTATATTACTTAAACAAGATACTTAATGGGTACATTTCAGGATTTTACTAGTGTTACATATTATCCAACTGGAGTCTACAATTGAAAGCAGGGCTGACTATTAGATGTCACTAATGCATTAAAACATCTAAATTAAGTTCTATTTTCAGTGTATGTTGCTAATTGTATCTATCCAGGCAGGCACAACTATATACACTGTGGCAGGATGGCCAGGCTCTTCACAATAAACTTCAAATGCAACAGTCTTCCTCTGCTATATCTAATAGACCCCTTGGGTGTCTACCATAAAGGAGCTCAAAAGGGGAAAACCCTACAGAAGATTGGGGAACCTCCCGAATAGCAAACAAGCAAGTATGGTGAGAGAGTGTCCCAATTTTTCCCATCTCGACCTACAACCTTGCGCAACATGTGTTTTAGGGTTCTATTGAATCTTTCTACTTAGCCATCGGTTTGAGGATGGTACACAGATTTCCTCAAGGCTTTTATTTGCAATAATTGGCATAGCTCTTTCATTAGTCGGGACATAAAAGGGGTACCTTGGTCAGTTAAAATCTCTTGGTAACCCTACCCGAGAAAATACTTGGAGCAATTCCTTTGCTATGGTTTTGGAAGCAGCATTGCGAAGCGGAATAGCTTCTGGATAGCGCGTGGCATAATCCAATACAACCAGAATGTACTGATTACCCTTAGCTGACTTTTACAATGGACCCACCAAATCCTTAGCAATAAGCTCAAAAGGGGTTTCAGTTATAGGCAATGGGATTAGAGGTGCTCTTAAGTGAGATTTTGGGGCTGCCAGTTGGCAGTCTGGGCATGAGGCACAGTACCTCTTGACCTCTTCATAAACCCCAGGCCAGAAAAATCTCCTTAGAATACTTTCCTGAGTTTTTTCAACCCCCAGGTGCCCCCCAAATAAGTGAGAATGAGCCAGATCTAACACCTTCCTTCTGAAAGATCTGGGTACCAAGAGCTGTTCAATCTCAAGCCCCTCATCTTTGATCACTCTATAAAGCAAGTCATTTCTAAGAATGAAACGGGGATACATCTCTCTGGATTTCCCATCAACCATAGTACCATTAATTTCTATAATTTGGTTACGGGCATTTTGCAATGTTAAGTCATTAACTTGTTCCCTTCCAAATTGAATTGAACCAATGCCCAAGTCCTCAATATTAACCTGTTGTAGGGTTTGGACATGGGGTTCAATCAATATTTCAGTTGAAGGTGTGGAATTAGTACTTGGGCTAGATAAGACCACACCTTCATTACTCTCAGCTTCATTAATCAAAGCCATTTGTAAATTCATGGTTCCCCTATGTTTATCTTCCCTTCGTTCACGCCTTGACTTGCGCCTTTTACATTGATCATAAAACAAGTCAGGGTGTGCAAATGGAAAAATACATAAAGGGCTCTCACTTATGGATTCACACTGGGTCTGAGTAAGGCTTTCAAAGTCTGGGAAATTGCGCCCGAGAATAAGAGCATGTGGCAATTTAGGCACAACTGCTGCCAATACTGAGTATGTTTGGCCAAGATAGCCTACTTTTATAGAGGTAGTACGATATGATACAGTACAGCCATGCACACAAAGTACCTTAACCTTCTTTTCTGGGATCAATTGAGAAGGCTGAATCAAACTGCTTGTCACTAGGGAAATGTCACTACCTGAATCCACAAGAGCCATGGTTGCCTTCCCATTTAACAAAACAGTTTTATCATATATACATTTCAGTATGTTTCCCCACCAAACAGGTCAGTCCACAAAAGTCCTCATTTACAGAATTATACCCACATTCAATAGGTTCTTGCAAATGTGGACACACAGCCTTTATGTGTGCTAGCTCCCCACACTCAAAGCAGGTAACTGGGGTTCTCCTGGTCTGTATCAAAGGCTTTTGAATTGTGCCATAGTTCAAGGTCTTTGAGCCTGGAATCAGTCCTTGGTTCTGTTGTACTGTATGTGGTGCTGTAGATTTTAACTCTCTCACTGCTGTTTATCTTTCAACCAGCGCCACCATTGAATCATAAGTGGTAGGGCTATCCTGCCCTGCCCACTGTTGCAGACCTTGGGGTAATCCTCGCAAGAACCGATCCAAAACTAATGTCTCAATTATTTGTGCAAGTGTTGAAAACTCTGGTTTTAACCACCATCTCCTTGTCAGATGAATCAAATCAAACATTTGTGACCTGGGTGCCCTCTATTCATGAAATTTCCAATTGTAGAATCTTTGGGCCCGGATCACTGGAGTCACGCCAGTCCTTGCAAGAATCTCTGCTTTAAGTAAGCTTTTTGAGCATCACCAAGCAGAAAAGGTGCAACTATGCCATCCCATTGAGCATGAGGCCATTGTTCTCTGATAGCAGTTCACTCAAAAGCGATGAGATATGTTTCCACATCATCTTGCGGCATCATCTTTTGCAGATACTGATTTGCACGTATTGGCTTTGAACCGCTGCTTTGCTCCTCTCTGGTAGTTTTTGAGAGTTGCTGCACAATCTCCTTCAGAACAGTCCTGTGCTCTTGCTGTGCCTGCAACACAGCCCCCATTTGAGCAGTTAAACGCCAGTTAGTTTCCTGTTGCACTGTGGTAGCATGCAGCAAGGCCTTTAACACATCCTCCATGTTAATACAGGGTTCAAACAGCTAATCCCACTTCATACACCACTTGTGGCAGGATGGCCAGGCTCTTCACAATAAACTTCAAATGCAACAGTCAGGATAAAATAGTACTGCAGTTTATTGTCACTTTCCACAATATATACAAGGTTGTGCTCTCCCACAAATATAAAACAAAAAGAAAATAAATCCTACTCCAACTTGGAGACGTACTAAACAACAGTATTACTAACTATTCAACTGGCCAGCTAATCTGGTTCCCAGTTTTAAACAAAATGAAATACAGCACTTTAAGCAGATTTTATACAGTACCTTTTTTCTCAGAGTCTCAGAATCTCAGGCTTAGCTGCATCCTCTCTCCCAGCTGTTAGATTCCCACGTCTTCAGAGGCCAACCTTTTAAAACCCTAGTGCTGGTTAATTACATTCACCTGGTTGATAACATTCAAGGGGTGACTCCCACCAATTAACCCCATCATGCTGGGAATAGAGAGCGCTCCACTCTATTACTAACATAAAAAGCCTCTCTGACCCTGCCACAACAATTATGTGAACTTGTTCTGATATAGACCTTTCATTTGTTGCTGCCTTAAGAGGTGGCAATAGAATGTTGTACTGTGATTGTTAGGATTGTTAATATGCAGTCTGAAGTTTGTAAATTGCACAAAACACTTGAAAATGTTTATCATCATCTGAATAAGTTTTTCTGTACATAGTTTATTTTCTTTTTTTTTATTTCTATTACATTTCACCAATTTAAACCCTTTCTCCAATTTGGGAATGAGGGAATTACATTCATGATTAACCTGGTCATTTGTAGGAATCTACAACAGACAAGAGGTCACCCGTTGAGACTGGAAGGAAGATGCTTTTGCTTACTGCAAAGGGAAGGGTTCTAAAAACAACAAAGATGTAGAAATCCATGCCTAGAGAGGCTGTCTTATTGGATTCTGTAGATATTATTAAAAATGCCTGAACTATTTTTTTTGGAAACATAAAACAAATTGATATGTATGTGAACAGGTTTGTTTCTCAAAGGAGAAATCTGTTTGCCATTGTGGGGTCAACAATGATGTTTTTCCTTTTGTGTGGCAAATATTGGAAATGGGTATACTTGTTTTTTTGCCTTCTTTTAAACTTGATGGACTTTAGTCTTTTTCTCAACCTAAATTACTATGCATCCCAGTGGCTTTATTATTTTATATTAGTATATTAACAATTTAAAGATGTAACTATGTAAGTGGAGTTATTAGTTTATATTAGTTTAGATATACTACATATTACTGTATCCCAAACTAAAGTTCTGATTAGGGATGTGCATGGGCAAAAAATTTGGTTTGGCACTTCTGAAATTCGGGACTTTGGCAATTCCCTAACCCTACCCCTAACCTTAAAAAAAAATAATGTACAGATGGTATATAGTCCTAGCTAGATTCTCCCACATAACTAAAGCTCAAGCTAAATCTCAATCAGGCTGTTGGAGGTGCCAAGTTGGGTAAGGCGCCATGGTTCATGTGTGTGGACTTGCCCTCTTGTGCAGTCTTTTTAGTTGAATGTGGCTGAATTAATATTCACTTCTACAGGAATTCAAAGGCCAGTCTTAGTGCACAGCCCACAACAGGATTTTCATTCACAACCCGCAAGATCAAGACTTCATCAGACAGATTTCCCAAACTTGTACATATGAATGCATGTTCCATGCTGTTTACTTCTTGACAAGCTACTTGACAGGCCTGTGAGACATATTCTTTAAATCATACAGTTTGTTTTGGATAATGTGTCAAGCTACGTGAGGTACTATTAATGCACAGAAAGGGTTGGAGACTTTTATGTGCTATGGCATGGTAACTATGACCACCTATGTCCCCCCTCTATTCTCCTATCTTTGTTTGTTACCCATATTATATGTTATCTTCTTTTTATATTTTTATCTCGGTTGTTATTTTGGATATACTATTAATGCGTGTACATGTATTACACTGATGTACATTTTAACCTTTTTTGTCCATGCATTTATCTTACAATTTGTACTTATTGCACTTTTCTATTGAAATAAAAAAATGAAATAAAGCATTCAAATTGAAAAAATAAATAGTTGAACTAGGAAAATGCTAAAGTCAGCTATGCTTCAAGTTTGGCTACTCCATCACTTTGAATTCTCACTTTAGTAAATAACCTTAAAAATTAAATTTACTAGTTTCTATATAATGGTTTATATATCTAAGTAAACAAGGGGTCTCTAAACAGCACATGTAATTTCCTAGCAGCGTGTTAATTAATTAGTCAAGTCCTAAAAGAATGTTTAATTGGACACTATGGGCACCAATGCAACTTTAGTGCTTTTGATTGTTTTTGCATTATTAATTTTCTTTATTTTTTTTTGCATGCTCAAATCTTTATAGTTTTTGCAGAGTGCTGTAACATGATCCTTTCTCCTTAGCTACACCCCCTTTTACCAGAAAGCCTTATCCACGTTAAACACATTTCCCACGTCCGCCCCTTTCTTAAGCAAGACGCTACTAAGGAGCTTGTCCATGCCCTAGTAATCTCTCACATTGATTATTGTAACTGTCTCCTAATTGGTTTTCCCAGAAGCTGTAATGAATTCTGCCGCCAGACTGATTTTCCTCTATAGTTGCTCCTTTCACACCTCAACCCTCTTTCAGTCCTTACATTGGCTTCCTGTATCCTATAAAAGTCAAAGTACTAATCCATACCTATAAAGCTCTAAACAATTCTGGCCCCTCTAACATCTCTTCACTCATCTGTAGGTATGCACCTTCTTGGTATACAAAAACAGAAAAAGTGTGCAGCGTATGGACCAAACCCACAAATCTTATAGGAGTATAAACACAATCAGTGAATAAAAATACAAAAAGAGATAAATACCCCAGTATTTTAAGATCTTTGAGGGTCATAAGTTTTTGTCAGATCCCATATAAAAACTGGTTCAAGTTGTATCACTTTAAGGTGTCTCAGATCAAATCTTGAAGTTACTCTCAGAGATGTAGCTTGATCCTCAGAATATGTAAATTGTTGGACAAGCAAACATCAAATTAGAAGAGTATAAAAAGCACATTTATTATAAGTAAATAAAAACCTTACATTGAGGTCTTGTAAAATCAGCAAAAAATAACAGCATAAATAGCAGCACAACGCGTTTCAACGATCAATCTCGTCTTCCTCAGGTGCAGTTCACAATATTACATACAATCCATACATTTAAAAGCCTTTTGGCGCGGAAAATCGGGTATTTAGGACCCACCCCCTTTGCCATCGGACCAATCAGCGAAGACTAGATGATTTCTTCTTCACCGTCTGTGATTTCCGGATTCATGCGTCCCATTCCTTTTACTTCCGGTATCGCATGCGTTCCGATATGCGTCTCACAGGGGGCACTTCCGGTTTCGCTTGCGGTCCGATTTTCCCAGCGAAAAAGTCCCTTGCCGAGTTCATATTGCTGCTAATCCTTAAGCTCACATAAATATAATGACATAATATACATGTGCACATTATGTCATTATATTTATGTGAGCTTAAGGATTTGCAGCAATATGAACTCGGCAAGGGACTTTTTCGCTGGGAAAATCGGACCGCAAGCGAAACCGGAAGTGCCCCCTGTGAGACGCATATCGGAACGCATGCGATACCGGAAGTAAAAGGAATGGGACGCATGAATCCGGAAATCACAGACGGTGAAGAAGAAATCATCTAGTCTTCGCTGATTGGTCCGATGGCAAAGGGGGCGGGTCCTAAATACCCGATTTTCCGCGCCAAAAGGCTTTTAGATGTATGGATTTTATGTAATATTGTGAACTGCACCTGAGGAAGACGAGATTGATCGTTGAAACGCGTTGTGCTGCTATTTATGCTTTTATTTTTTGCTGATTTTACAAGACCTCAATGTAAGGTTTTTATTTACTTATAATAAATGTGCTTTTTATACTCTTCTAATTTGATGTTTGCTTGTCCAACAATTTACATATTCTGAGGATCAAGCTACATCTCTGAGAGTAACTTCAAGATTTGATCTGAGACACCTTAAAGTGATACAACTTGAACCAGTTTTTATATGGGATCTGACAAAAACTTATGACCCTCAAAGATCTTAAAATACTGGGGTATTTATCTCTTTTTGTATTTTTATTCACTGATTGTGTTTATACTCCTATAAGATTTGTGGGTTTGGTCCATGCGCTGCACACTTTTTCTGTTTTTGTATACTGTTGTTTTTGTGGGATTATTGTGATTGTACCCACTAGTGTGTACTAGCTGCTATTCATTTTAGCGCCATAAATTGTATTTTTTTCTGTTTTATTGATGCACCTTCTTGGTCTCTTTGCCCTGCCCATGACCTTCTCCTGTCCGCTGCTCGCACCTGTATGGCCAACTCTCATCTGCAGGACTTCTTGTGGGCACCTCCTTTCCTTTGGAATAGCCTGCCTACCACCATCAGACTATCCCCTGGTTTTCAAACTTTTAAGAAGTGTCTTAAAACCCATCTTTTCAGGAAAGCTTGCAGCCTCTACCTCACATACCTATCCCTTGCTCTCTCCTAAAGGGCAGCACTTTACTCCTATTGTTTTTTATACCCCACCTCCTCTAGACCAGCAATGGCAAACCTATGGCACCGAGCTCTCTCTGTCGGGGGGGGAGGGGAGAGGGAGTGCCAGACTTTAGTGACCCGGTAGGAGGGAAGCGAACAGCGCTCCCTCCTGCCAGTCACTATGTGGCTGGGCGGTGAGGACCACGGTACAGGAACTTTAGTTTCCTGTACCTGGCCAGACTGAAAGGAAGTGCTCACTGAGACAGCACTTCCTTTCAGTCCGGCTGTTTACAGGAAACAGAAGCTCCTGTACCGCGGAATATGCCGCCCAGCCACGCTAAACAGTGAGGTAGGAGGTACCAAGGGGAGGGGGAGAGAGGAACACTAAAAGATAGGGAGAGACCACTAAGGGATGGTGGGAGAATAGTGACCACAAAAGGGGGGGGAGAGGAAAGACCAATAAGTGGGTGGGAGGGGAGGAGTGACCACTAAAGGAGGGGAGGAGAGACCACTAGGGGTGGGTAGAGAGGAGTGACCACTAAAGGAGAGTAGAGACCACTAAGGGGGTAAGGGGAGAGGAGTGACCACTAGAGGAGGGGGAGAAGAGACCACTAAGGGGTGGGGGGAGAATAGTGACCACTAAAGGGGGGGAGAGCGAGACCACTAAGGGGGGGGGGGGAGAATAGTGACCTCACTCAAAGGGGGAGAGGAGAGACCATCAGGGCGGGGGAGAGGAGGACCACTGGAAAGGAGAGGAGAGAAGAGACCATTAAGGGGTGGGAAGAGGAGGACCACTAGATGGTGGGAAGAGACCACTGAGGGTGGGGGAGAATAGTGAACCACCAAAGGGGGAGAGCAAGACCACCAAGGGGGTGGGGGAGAGGAGGACCACTAAAGGGGGGAGAGGAGAGACCACTAGGGTGTGGGTGGAGAGAAGTGACCACTAAAGGGGGGGAGATGAGAGATCACTAAGGGGTAGGGGGAAGAGGAGTGACCACTAGAGGGGGGGGGATAAGAGGCCACTAAGGAGGTGGGGGAGTGGAGTGACCACTAAAGGGGGGGGAAGGAGAGACCACTAAGGGACAGGGGGCAGGGGAGAGCTCTAAGGACAGAGGTGACAGCTCTAAGGGAGGGGAGGAGAGAAAACACTAAGGGACAAAGGGGTAAGGGAGAACACTAAGGGACAGTGGGGCAGGGGAGATCACAGGGTGACAGAGGAGAGAACTAAGTGACAGGAGGGGATGGGAGAGCACTAAGGACAGGAGGGGTAGGGAGAGCACTAAGGGTGTCTGTGTATCTGTGAGTGTCTGTGTATCTGTGAGTATGTGTGTGTCAGTGTGTGTGTATCTGTGAGTGTCTGTGTATCCGTGAGTTTCAGTGTGCATAATTGCTGTGTTTAATTGCTGTGTTGGCACTTTGAGAAAAAAAAAGTTGTTTTGTATTGCGTTTTGGGCACTCAGGCTCAAAAATGTTCGCCATCACTGCTCTAGACTGTAAGCTTGTTTGAGCAGGGTCCTCTTCGACCTACTGTTCTTGTAAGTTTCTGTAATTGTTTCATTTATTGTTAAATCTCCCCCTCTTATAATATCATAAATCGCTACGGAATATGTTGGCGCTATATAAATGCAATAGTAATAATAATAATAATCAGTGTATGCACACAGCTGAGCTCCTCAGAGCACTGAGTGAGCTTCTGCTAATTCACAACCTGGCTGCAGTCAGTAAGAGAAACTACAGATAAACAAGTAGCGATGTGCCTACTTTACGTCTCCGAGGATGGGTGTCCTCTATAATGGAGGTTGCCTTGTAATTCAGATCACTCAGTGTTCTCAGTGGCTGAGATGTGAACATACATTTGCTAAAGAAATATTTTTCTTGCATGATGGGAGTGGCTAAGAAGGTGGGCTTATGCAAAAACAAATTAATATATATGCAAGTTTTCAGACAAATGGATTTCCTTCAAGCATAAAGCAAGGGTTGCACATATAATGATCCCCCAGTCTGCACATTTTATTACGTTATCAGTATAATTATCTACAACCATTTAAAACATAGATGAACCCTACTATTGAATGTCCCTTTCAAGTCAGAAAATGAACTGAAAATTGCATAATCCACAAAATCAACTCGTGTAAAATGTTGTATCTTGTTTGACTTGTTTCACAAATGTGTACAATACAATAAGAAAAACTAAGGAGCAAGTGAAACAAGTCAGATAGCTTTTGTGTAGACAATGAAGAGATTATTTTCTAACTTCTCTACTGTTAACACTTCCTTTCATTTTTTGGTGTGTTTTTTTTTTTTTTTTGTAACAAACCTTTCTTTCCCAAGAATGAACACTTCTTTTTAATTATGTTGAAAATAAAAGATTAAAGGTGTGATGGGAATCCAATCATGCCTTGTTCCTGTTGGAGAATAAAATGAGCCCAGACCAAATATTGCAAACAATGGTTAATCCTTTAAGGGCTGATCTGATTATTAATATTGCAATATGACTCATCCAAAGTAAAACCAAGAATCTGTGTAAAAGAGTGAGCGCTGAGCATTGTCCAAGGACTAATATACCTACTAAATATGCATAATTATATTTATTAGCCTAATTGGTTTCAATTGTTTGTATAAAGGATGGTCTTTTACAGGGCTCGAGTCCTGCAGGAACGCGTGGGAACGGCGTTCCTGCACTTTTTTCACAGCAGGAACGCCGTTCCCCCTGCAGGCACTCAGGGGGCGGAAAAAAATGCCGCCCCCAAATGCCCCCCCTTGTTTCCCCTGTCATGGGGGGCAACCTGATGGATTGCCCCCCGGCGCACGGCTCTCTCCCTGTCACACGCGGAGAGGGAGCTGTGTGCTCTCTGCTCCCTCTCGCCGCGCGGGATGTCGGCTGATGCTGGGAGCAGGGTTGATGACGTCATATTCCGGCTCCCAGCATCAGCAGACATCCCGCGCGGCGAGAGGGAGCAGAGAGCACACAGCTCCCTCTCCGCGTGTGACAGGGAGAGAGCCGTCCTCACTGCAGCCCCACTGGACCCCAGGGAAAGGTAGGGATGCTGGGTGGGTGGGATATGTTAATTTTTTTTATAATATTATTAAGTTGTATATATGTATGTCTGTGTGTGGATGTGTGGATGTCTGTTTGTGGATGTGTGGATGTCTGTATGTCTGTGTGTGGATGTGTGGATGTCTGTTTGTGGATGTCTGTTTGTGGATGTGTGGATGTCTATTTGTGGATGTGTGGATGTCTGTGTATGTGTGGATGTCTGTTTGTGGATGTCTATTTGTGGATGTGTGGATGTCTGTGGATGTGTGGATGTCTGTGTATGTGTGGATGTCTGTTTGTGGATGTGTGGATGTCTGTGTATGTGTGGATGTCTGTTTGTGGATGTGTGGATGTCTGTGTATGTGTGGATGTCTGTTTGTGGATGTGTGGATGTCTGTTTGTGGATGTGTGGATGTCTGTTTGTGGATGTGTGGATGTCTGTTTGTGGATGTGTGGATGTCTGTTTGTGGATATGTGGATGTCTGTTTGTGGATGTGTGGATGTCTGTTTGTGGATGTCTGTTAGTGGATGTCTGTTTGTGGATGTGTGGATGTCTGTTTGTGGATGTCTGTTTGTGGATGTGCGGATGTCTGTTTGTGGATGTCTGTTTGTGGATGTGTGGATGTCTGTTTGTGGATGTCTGTTTGTGGATGTCTGTTTGTGGATGTGTGGATGTCTGTTTGTGGATGTCTGGATGTCTGTTTGTGGATGTCTGGATGTGGATGTCTGTTTGTGGATTTGTGGATGTCTGTGGATGTGTGGATGTCTGTTTGTGGATGTGTGGATGTCTATTTGTGGATGTGTGGATGTCTGTGTATGTGTGGATGTCTGTTTGTGGATATGTGGATGTCTGTTTGTGGATGTGTGGATGTCTGTTTGTGGATGTGTGGATGTCTGTTTGTGGATGTCTGTTTGTGGATGTCTGTGTATGTGTGGATGTCTGTTTGTGTATGTGTGTATGTCTGTTTGTGGATGTCTGTTTGTGGATGTCTGTTTGTGGATGTCTGTTTGTGTATGTGTGGATGTCTGTTTGTGGATGTCTGTTTGTGTATGTGTGGATGTCTGTTTGTGGATGTGTGGATGTCTGTGGATGTGTGTTTGTGGATGTGTGTTTGTGGATGTATGTGGATGTGTGGATGTCTGTTTGTGGATGTCTGTGGATGTGTGGATGTCTGTTTGTGGGTTTGTGGATGTCTGTTTGTGGATGTGTGGATGTCTGTTTGTGGGTTTGTGGATGTGTGGATGTCTGTTTGTGGATGTGTGGATGTGGATGTCTGTTTGTGGATGTGTGGATGTGGATGTCTGTTTGTGGATGTGTGGATGTCTGTTTGTGGATGTCTGTTTGTGGATGTCTATTTGTGGATGTCTGTTTGTGGATGTCTATTTGTGGATGTGTGGATGTCTGTGGATGTGTGGATGTCTGTTTGTGGATGTCTGTTTGTGGATGTGTGGATGTGGATGTCTGTGGATGTGTGGATGTCTGTTTGTGGACGTCTGGATGTGTGGATGTCTGTCTGTGGATGTCTGTCTGTGGATGTCTGTCTGTGGATGTCTGTTTGTCTCAGTGTGTGTAGGAGTGTATTTATGTCTGTTAGCGTTTGTACGTGTGTATGTGAGTGTATGTGCTTCTGTTAGTGTATGCATGTGTATGTTTGCAATTGCATGTATGTGCATACGTTATTGTAAGTTTCTGTCAAATAAGTGAGAGTGTCATTTAGTGTGTGTGTGACTATTAGTGTGTGTCTCTCTGTCAATGAATGAGTGTGTGTCAGTGAATGTGTGTGTCAAATCAGTGACGTCTGTGTGTTTGTCATTGAATGTGTGTGTTACTGTCAGTGTGTATCTGCCAGTGTGGGTGTCTGTCAGAGAGTGTGCTTAAAGGGACACTATGGGCACCCAGACTACTTCAGCTCCTTGAAGTGGTCTGGGTGCAGTGTCCCAGTCCCCTTAAACCTTCTCAGAAACTGCAATAATTACCTGAGGGGTAACTCCAAGTCTAGTGGCTGTCTATCAGACAGCCACTAGAGGGACTTTCGGGTGGTTAGGTGACCAAAAGTCACCTAACTGATGCTGGACGTCCTCACCCTGTGCATGAGGACATCCAGCATCTGCTAAATACCCATAGGATGTTAACCCCTTCAGTGTCGAGTGGGGGAGGGGAGGACATGAGAGGACGGGGGCACTATACGGAATTATAGTGCCAGGAAAACAACTTTGTTTTCCTGGCACTATAGTATTTCTTTAAAAGGAGCAGGAAAAGGTGGAGTCTAAAGAGGAAGGGGTGGGTTCTTAATCAAGAAGCGGTGCGCCCTTGACATGAAGGAGTGGTAAATTTAGATTAGGGGGGTGCTCTATAGTCATGTCTAGGGCAGCATAAAATTAAAATACACCACTGTGTGAGTGTATGTGTGTGTGCACGCGTGTGTATGTGTGTGTGTATATATATATATATATATATATATATATATATATATACATACATAGATATACATACATACATAGATATACATACAAGTGTTTTGGGGTTTTTTGGGGAGAGTTCCCACACTTTTTTCCCCAGGACTTGACCCCTGGATCCAGGTATCATCAGATTAAAGGTGATATTGAAGCCATAGGATGATATTAGCTCACAAAGAAAGGCAGTAAAAATTGAGAAAAGGACAGGTCCCAGTAAAGAGTCTTGAGGAACTTTCACTGGGAGAAGTACTGAAAGGGAAGAGGAACCAAAGAAGGGGACACTGAAGGAGCAATTAGAGAGGTAGGATGAGAAGCAGGAACAAGCGGTGTAAACAAGGCCAAGGCTGCCAAGGGTTAGGAGGAGATGTGGGTGGTTAAAAGTGTCAAAAGCTGCAGAAAGAGCAAGCAGAATAAATAGTGAATAGTGGCCTTTGGATTTTGCAGTCACTAAGTTATTGGTCACTTTGATCAGGGCAGGCTCTGTGGAATGTTGGGAGCGGAATCCAGACTGAAGCAGGTCAAGTAAGGAGTTAAAGTTCAGAAAGTCCATAAGTCAAGTATAAAGCAAGTTTTTTTGAGGAGCTTGGTGGCAAAGGGATGAAGAGAGATGGGGCAATAGCTAGGCAAAGCACCCAGGTTAAGAGAAGGATATTTTGGAATGGGCATGATTAGCACATATTTGGAGAATAAGGGAAAAATTATAGAGGAAAAAGGGAGATTAAATATTTTAGTCAAAGATGAACAATGTCAGATAAGAGAGACTGTGTAAGGTGTAAGGGAATGGGATCAGGGGAACACGTGGTAAGGTAGGAGGAAAGGAGAAGAGCAGAAACCTCTTCAAAAACTAGAGAGAAAAATAAACTCAACATTCAGTATATGTTCTATAGCCGAAAGATGTCCAAAGGAGTGAAACCTGTATAAGGTAAATTACAAAAGTAAATTACAATCCAGCAGTGATATCTGATCAATAATGTTTCCTCACATTTGATAGTATTGTGTGAGTGTTTTCACTACAATTACAACCCCATAAATGTCACAACCTTTTCTTGCCGGTAACTTCGGTCAATGTAAAGCACATGATCTTCAGTTTGATACTTTACGATTACGAACTTGACAATAAAGATAATGGGTCAGCCTTGGAAAGATCTGTCATGTTTGTCTGACCCCTTTTTACAGAGTAATGGTAATAACATGTGTGTCATTAAAGGTAAACTCTATGAACCAAAACTACTATTTCTAAATGTAGGGATGTTGGTGGAAAGGCACACATGCCCAATAGATCCTTAGTGCTTCTCTATGTCAGGTTGATCTCAGAAGATGATAAGCAGCTACCTGATGGTGACTACTCTGCTCTAGAAAAAAAAGGATTTTTGTTAAGTATTGGTACAGTATCAGCATTAGAACAGTGTTAGCATTGCTAACCGTTCATTCAGTGTCTCATTTTCTAATAGCAACTCCTATCCTCATCCTGTCTCAGTTTGAGTCATTCAAGGCTCTGTTCTGGGTCCCGTTTGTTTTCTCTTTATATTCCCTCTCCTGACAGCTAATTAATTTTTTTTCATTCCACTATCACCTTTATAATCTTGAAATTCTTTATTTTTGGAGTGCATGGAAATATAACAAGTTATCTCGTCATGCCCCAACAGTAGTGACAAGTTTATGGCAAAACATTAGTTAACAGTTGGTTAGCATGTGAAGAAAACACACAATTATTAAAGAGCAAGATTTTGCAGAGTAAGTGTTCCTATCTTAAATAATCTATGCATAGTAAGTTTGTCTGATGGGACAAACCAAGATGTGCAGAATATATCAAGTGAGCTTGACCTGCCTCTATAGCATTGAATAGATTATAACAAGGCATATGTTAACAGTTGGTCTGCATGTGAAAAAGAGAGAAAAATAAATAAATAGATAAATAAGAAGAGAGAGAAAACAGCCCAATTTTTATAGAGCAACAAATCAGGATTTGTGCTCTTTACGATACAATACAAACAAGCTAAATCCGTGCGTGTAGGTTTATATGTGTCACGTATTTATCCGCTTATAGAAATGTGATTAATGACATTTACTGTCCACACAGGAAAAGTTGTGCCGAGCAGCAACCTAATCCAAAGAAGGGTTAATGCTGAGCAGCAATTATGCAAATGAAACCTGGTAACTGACTTTGGGGTCAAAGGCCGGTTACAGCCTATCAGAACTTAAAGAGGGGTATTTAGGCCCAGTTCTCAGCCTGCTCAGTGCCCTGTCGTGGTTTCCCTTGTGGTTGTCCGAGAGCGCGTTCCTGTTATTAGTTTTCTACCTGGTTTTTGACTTTGGCTTTGTTTATTGACTTCTCTATATTCTGGTATCCTGACTCCTGGCTTTCCTCATCGCTGTGTCCCTTTCTATGTTCCCTGACCTCGGCTAGTATTTTTGACTATTCTTTGTACGTTAAATCCGGCCATTCTAAGGACCGGTAATACGTTACTTATTTGTCATCCGTGCTATACAGTTCTACGTGCTGGATCAAACAGTAATCCTGACAATATGTCAATATAGCATACGTTACTTTAGGTAAACAAGCTGTGAAGAGCGCTGTTAGTGCGCCTCTAGATGCAGTGTCACTGAGGAAGATGTACAGGTACTGCTATGATGTTGTGTAAAGCATGGAGAGTTTGCAGCGAAGAAGGTAATGTGTAGCAAAAGCATGTTACTCAAGGCCTGATATCTAGCATGTAAAACTCAATGGTTTGCTGCTCTGGGTGTTAGGCAGGGAACGTGTCCAGGCATCAGTCCCAGAGGCTGAGTTAAAGTGGAGGCATGCAAGGGGCATATAAGCAAGCATATTCATGTCGGGAGTCCACCAGTCTGCAACGCCGAAAGACAGTCCGGGGCTTCTTGCTCATTCATCCAATGCCCAGTCTGTGGGGAGGTCGTTGGTCGCTCTGCAGTGGGTATGTGTCATGCAGGTGTGTACCTTTCGCAAGGACGTAAGGCTGTGCTGTGCCTGGGTGCCTCGTGGTGATCCTGCACTCAGGTCCGCCATCTTGTGAGCTGTGTATGTCAGGGTCCTGTTGGCTTGGCTTCTGTCTTTGCCACCTGTCCCCACGCTCTTCCCACTTGGTTTTGCAATCCTCTGTGGGGTGACAGGCGAACGTTTCCTCAACGATCGCGGCTTCGTCTTGCAAGGGCACCGCAGGTTCGTCTGTGTGCTTGGTGGCTTTGGGTGCTTGTCAGGATTGTTCAGGTAGGTCTGCGATATCGCAGGCTCAGCTGTGTGTTGGTAGCATTTTGGTGTGACCTCCTGCCATGCCTCCAATTGCGCCCAAAACCTTTCAAAGATTAGACTCAGCCATGCTTGACAGGCTGCTAGGTAGGCCTCAGTAGTGAGGTTGCTTTTGCGCTCTGCCATCTTGGATGCTGCTCTGCTGTGATACTCAAGAGGCAGTGATTGTACTCATGGAGGGCCTCCCGGGACCGGGATACCCCGCCCGGTCCAAAGGGGGGGAAGCAGGTGTCCGCTGTGAGTATCGGAAGTCGGCACTGGAGAGCGGCCGTCTCTCCGGCGCCTGATAAGCTTATAGGCCACAGTAAGGTAAAGGCTGATGATCCGGACTCGGACGGTTCCAAGTTTGGTGTCGTTTGGATCAGCACGGTCCCCCCTGTTCAGCCCATAGATTTATCTTCCCCTGATATCTACCCTCTCTCTAAAACTGAGCTTCCTATTTTTCTTCCTCCACTTGAGAAAGCCTATAAGGTGAAACGCGTTGCCATTTGAAATTTTCAAGTGTTTTATTATTTATTTTTTTACTATTGGTGTGGTAATTTTGAATGAAAATTTGATTTACCATTCAATTTATTTTCTGTGGTTCTGCTTTTATTTTGAATACCTTATTTACCTTGAAAACAACAGCTGGCACTACTGCACCTTACCTACTTGTCCTTACAGATGGGGAGTGCACCACCCAAGCTGTTTCCATCAAGCATGTGTGCATGCCCCTTTAAATGTGAGTATATTTTACCTAATTAGTAAATCATATTATTTATTACAAACAGAGAGCAATATTTTTTTATTTCTGTTTTATATTACATATTTACTGGGAAATTCATTCCAAGCAATGTCCTTTACAGGGGATTATATTGCTTCATGCTTTCACTAAGAGCTAAATTGGAAGCTCTTTGTTTGTGAGTGTAACGGTTGCCTCCAGGCTGGCTGGAAGTTGGACCGTAGAAAGGATGCTCCTAGCGCTCACCAAAGGACCATCAGCACCGTAGACACTATAAGCACTGCAGACTCCACGAACCGCCGCTGTTGTGCTGGGATCTCGCCATCTGCTATCCATCCTGGACCTATGACCAGGCTCCAGGTTCCAGTAGGTGAACCTCTTCCTTCTGTAGAGCAAAGCAGGATCAGGAACAAGAGCTCTTACAAGAGCTTAGTAGGGAGTATGAAGAGCATAGCAATCCCTGTAGTGATTATAGCTGTCACCTACAAACATGAGTCGGGGCTGCAAGTTAGAGGGTCAAGTAGTTCTCTTTAATTGGCACCAAAGGGCTTTCTTTTATGGAGGTCTTACACATACAGGACTGCCCACAGGGTTTTACAGAACAAACCAATAACACACGTACATTACAGTAAAACACTCCCAGCAATTACACACAAAATCCTCCCCTCTGCCTGTGATATAATTATGGTACACAATGGGTTAACATACCTATCACTAACATAACTATCAGGCAGGAAAAATACAGTTTTTACACATGTACTGTAACTTTAAAAATATACATTCAATTACAAATGTATAAAAATTACATATTCAAACTCAGCACACTTTAACCCCTTAAGGACACATGACATGTGTGACATGTCATGATTCCCTTTTATTCCAGAAGTTTGGTCCTTGAGGGGTTAAACATAAACATACTCAAAAATCATAAAAATCCCTACAGTACATAAAAGGTTAGCTGGAAGTCCTTTATGACCGACCGCAAGCACATTTTCATGCCCAAAACAGTTCCATGGATTTGGGCTGTGCAGTCGGTCTATTTTACACTGAAAAAATTACCAAGTCCCATTCGAACGAGTGTTTGAATCTTCGAATGGGACTTAGTCTCCAGCCGCAGTGTCAAAGTGCAGGAGAAGATAGGGGTCACCGGTGTTTGTCAAAATGTGTAGCCGATTTAAGTTCCATGAATTTGGCTACACACACCGCTGACTGCGTTCGAATGAACAAAGATGGCCACCGCCACATGTTCGATTGCACGAACGACAGCCCCCCAGCAGTCGGCAATTTACCTACAGCAGACTCCCAGCCTGGAAGGTAAATTGCCTGCACACTTCCACTTCTGGGTGGCCCGCCTGTGTGGTACTTGGTTCAGTAAGCCCCATTTAGTGAACCAAGTGTAAAGAAGCCATGAATAAAGAACTTTAACCAAGTCAGGGGACACTGGGGACAAAGTCTTAAAGGGGCATTGTCCCAATTTTCCCCATGTCCCAAAAATGTGCTTAATGAAAATGAAAGTCCATAAGCCCCAATATTCCATACACATCAGGGCCATAGTCATGAGGAAGGAGGCTGGCGATAAGTCTTCTCCATAATACAGGGAAGTAGGGCAATTTGTAACTTAAAGAGACAGTTACAAAAATCATTTTGTAACAGTGAGTGTATTTAACCCTTTTTTAATAAATATCCTTTGGTTATTTTTACTGTATTGCACTATTGGATTCCTCTCCACTTTTATATTTCATGTATGAGGCGCATGTTCTGATAGTGTCATAGGACGTACCCATGTTCCTGTAAAAATCCTGACTGATTATCCCCCACATATCCTTTAACAAGGATTGTATTGTCAGACACTGATGCATGAGAGTTAATAGATAACTCATTGTTTTTTCTCTGTTACATTCGATATCATACTATTCTGTTGTTGTTTTTTTGTTTACTGTCATTTCATATAACAGAACTTGTTTGCCTTCCTTATCAAGATTTTTTGTTGTCAATTAAAAACTATCTTTTGGGACTCTGTAGTTCAGTTTACCACCATCTGTTGCAGTGGTGGACTGACAACCTCATGGGCCCCTGGGTAAAATGACCTCTAGGGCCCCTTTTACCCACATTTTATTAATTATTATTATTTTTATTTTTTTTAATTCAAAATGTTGGTTCTTGCACCTACATGCACAAAGACAAGCTCACTACACACATCTCACTACAGAAATCTCACACTAACATACAGAACAAGCTCACTACACACAAGCACACTGATACAAACAGGATCACAGCTCACCACAGACAGTTCACTGACACATTCACAAGCTCACTCACAGACACAAAAGTTCACTACTGAAAAATCACTACACACAGCTTATTAAGGAAAGCTCACTACACACAAACTCACCTGTGGACATTCAAGCACACTATGGAAAAATCACTACTTGACATATACAATCTCACTACAAACTTCTAACAACCCATAAACTCACACAGCTCACTATAAACAGCTCACTGACACACACACACACACACACACACACACACAAGTTCACTACACACAGCTTGCTACAGAAATCTCACTGACACCCACACACAAGCTCAATGACATACACACATGCTCACTTACACACACGCACACACACACACACACACACACACAAGCTCACTGACATACACACAAGCTCACTAAACACACACAAGTTTACTACACACACATGCTAACTGACACACACACACACACACACAAGCTCATTTACACACACACAAGCTCACTAAACATACACACACAAGCTCACTGAGACACACAGAAGCTCAATGACACACAAACACAAGCTCACTGACACACACAACTTCACTAAACACAAGCACACTACACATACACAAGCTCACTGACACACACACAAGCTCATTACACACACACACAAGCTCAATGACATACACACATGCTCACTAAATACACACAAGCTCACTGACACACATACACAAGCTCACTAAACACAAGCAAACTGCACACACACACACACACACACACACACACTCACTGACACACACACACACAAGCTCACTCACACACACACAAGCTAACTGACACACACAGAAGGTCTCTAGTACAAGATCACACTGTCACTCAACCACTGCATGGAGAACTGGAACTCGGGCTGTTCCTTTCAGTATGGTCGGCTGGCTGACGCTGGGGGCAGAGCTTGGAAGCTGCTGGCCCCTGTAGCTTGTTCTGCTCTAGGATGAAGCTGACAGGGGCCCATAGGGGATTTACTTTAACCCCACAGAGGGGAGGGAATTTCCTCTCTTCTCATCTAACATAGAGCTCTCCCACTGGGGCATTGAATAGGATACCAGGCAAGAAGAGCTTTGTGCCTATCTCACACATTGCTGCATAACTTTACCCTGGGCTGGTTGGGGAGATCTTCTGATCTCCCTAGCCCAGCCTCAGCAGCTTCGGGCCCCTGACTGCCACAGGCCCTTGGTCCATGACCGATGTGCCCATGTGGTCAGTCTGTCTTTGATCTGTTGTAACTTAGGTACTAAGTATTAACATTATTGTATTTTTATTTTACGCAACCAGTGTTCTCTCCTTTTTTCATTTCACTCCCTTGGATTATTAGGGTATCCAGGTTTCAGTGTTTTTTGCTCTCTGGAGCCAGCGCTGTATCAATCTAACCCCTTTCTTCAGGACATAATTAACTCTTATAACACTGAGGTTTATTTAACTATTTTCCCACTAGCAGCTAGCGCTGCCAGCAAAGAAATAGTACTACGAATTATAATTTGCTTGCATGAAGGCAAGTGAGCGATAATTTGGGAATGTGTATCCTGCTGAATCCACTCAGTCTTTATTGAGGTTAAAAATCGTGCTTTGTGAATCCTCCAAATCCTAGACTTAGGATTCAGATCGAAAAACAGTGATTTTAATCTGGACACTAAATACATCAGCGCAATTGCTGCAGATTCACTTGAGGAGACCGAATTCTGATCTTGTTTGCCATTAGTAAATATAAGAATTGTCAATGTGGTCGGAATTCAGACATTTTCGCCGGCTTTTGTCCATTCAGACAAACTCCAGTGTTTAGTTAATAACGCCGTAACAATACAAAAAATGCATCCCTGCATTCAAATGTTAACATAAATACACACCTGCATTCTAACATTACTTATATATACTCAAATACACAAACATTTACACACACAAACTACATAAAAAACTACGTTCATCCACACACATACAACACATCTTGCAATGATGGTAGATCTACAGCTGACAAAGCATCAACAGAGTTGTAGGACACTTGAGATCTAATGTTTGGCCACTCCTTCAATATATGGTGGGGGTCCAACATTTATTTTTACCAAAGGGCCCTTCCAATATTAGCACTGCCACTGCAACCAGGAATAGACTTTTAAATTCAAAACAAGTTGATAAGTGGTGTCTTGTTATCAGAAGAACATAACCTGCTGTATACAAAATACATATATCATATCAAGATCCGGGCAACACATGGGTGCCTACATTATCATGGGAGGAAGCAGGCAGTGGGATAATAACTTTCGTTTCTGCATTCATACTGGAGAATTTCCTCATTATTTCACTTTGTATGTGTAGTATACATGTTATGTGCACAACATTTCATTTCTAAGTAATGAAATGCAAATGTAAGTCACAATGTACATACCTGCTATTCTATTTAGTGTCACCCAGTAATGTTCATCTGGGCTGTAAGTGTCTTTGGACCATGTCAGCAGGTCAATGGCTCTCTGATCTTCAAGAATAAACTTAGCAAATTGTCTTGTCAGTGCAACATATGCAGTACCAAAGTAGATAGTTATGTTATGAGGAGGAGGGGGCTTTACCAAAGTGGTCCTCAAAACTAATGAATGAACTAAATCCTCCCGATGAACATATTTCGTCCTTGCTATAGCATGATTGGGGGGGAGCACCCCAGGGGTAACATTTTTTCCATTGAATCTCTTAAGATGCTGTATGATTTCTTTGTTTGTCTTTAATGGGAAATCCTGTCCACATGTATTGATAACATACTTCCATTGTACCTCTGATTTTACCAGGTCTTCAATGCAGTTTATATCTGCTAATAGTCTTGATATTCCAGCATAGACCACAGGCTCTGTCCTGGAGGCCAAGAAAACATTAGGAAAGCATTCTGCCATTCTCTCTACAGAATGCAAGAAATTGGACTTTGCCTTTTCATCAACGTGGATACAATAGATGTTCTGGGGCATATAGACAGCCCTAAATAGTCTTTCAAACATGTCCAGTTCTTTATGCACAACCATAACATAAGCCAGTGGGAAATCAGCTTCTTCTCTAGAGAGAGGAGATGTGATATAATGGTTTTGCCTTACATATTCTTGACATGCCATTCTTTTAGAAGATATTGCTGGTACATTTCCCCAAAAGAAATATTTGTTCCGTCTGATCAGTGCATCACATGATCCATTCAGTTCCACTGTCTCTGGAGAATAGTGAAATTTTTTTACAATTTGTTTTCCATTCAGATAATTGCTATTGAAAAAGAACAAGAGTACGACTCCCAGAGCTAATAAACATGAAAAACATGTCTTTGTAATGTTCATGCTTTTCTGTGTAACCTATGTTGAGTTTCAGTAATTCTTATAGGGAAAAAAATATATATTCCTATTCTATTTCTACGTGGTCCAACTGTTATTGGCTCTGATGTCTGTAATATATGAAAAAGGATGTTTATCTCTGTCCGTTTCCTCTGCAGCCTTCCCTTCAACATCGTTCATCCAGTGTGAAAGAATGACTCCTTGCATATGAATGCAGCTCTCAGTGAAGCACTTCTGTGATTGGTGAAGCGAGTATCAATAGATTGCATATTCTCTGCTTCATTACACCTTCAATAAGCTCAGATTTCAGTCCATATCTAATACCTCCCTCTCACAAACAGCTCATGGCACTGTGAAGTCAGTAACTAGAATGTAAGCTATATTTTACAAAATTAAACATTATTAATGTGAAATTTTACTACACTGCATATAGATTAATTTTTTTGCCTCCAAATGTTTTGTGACTTCCTCCCGTATTCTTCTGAAATAAATATAAGCATATTTGGAAGAGATACGGACAAGATTATTTAGTAATAATTTACAAAATAATTTACAACAACAAAAGAAATTCCTATAGTTCTATACAAAGATAGAGATAATAATTAACCCTTACATACCTAATTCGACTTGTACAAACATATTACAAATGGACATATCTTTCAAATTAAACAAATGATCATATCACTGAAAAAAAATCACAAAATATAGCTTATAAATCTTATAAAACATCTATATATACTGTCCTAAAAATACTAATAACAATAATTCTATATTTATTTTCTATAAAAGTGGTTCCTAAACTAGTCCACATGGCCCACCAACAATCCAGGATTAGTGATGTCCTGAACTGTTCGCAGAACGGTTCGCGAACGGTTCGCCACGAACGGTTCGCCACGGACTCATCATTGAGTAAACTTTGACCCTGTACCCCACAGTCAGCAGACACATTCCAGCCAATCAGCAGCAGACCCTCCCTCACAGACCCTCCCACCATCCATTGTGAAGCTGCATTCTTAGTGAGCTGTCCAGGAGGTGGGAGGGTCTGGGAGGGAGGGTCTGCTGCTGATTGGCTCGAATGTGTCTGCTGACTGTGAGGTACAGGGTCAAAGTTTACTCAATGATGAGTCCGTGGCGAACCGTTCGTGGCGAACCGGGGCGAACCGTTCGCGAACTGTTCGGCGAACAGTTCGGGACATCACTATCCAGGATTTATATATTTCCCTGTTTTATTTCACAGGAGATACTGACAAAACCTGGACTGTTGGTGGGTCATGAGGACTATATATTTATTTTGACTTGTAGGAATGGCATACATTTTTTTTCCAGGGCTGCTTTGGATTCCCAGGGATTCCCTGGCTCTGCCAGCGAGTGCACTTTACCGCTTAATCATCTGTGTGAGTTGCCGCACACTTTAGCCCTGGTACACGCGTCTGGGAGCTGCTGTTGACAGGTACTAGTAGTCTAGAGATTGGGACATGAGGTATATGCTCAGCTATCTGTATAATACAGATCTGTGTGTATATAATCTCCCGGGATAGTCAGTGCTTCCTGTATAATATCCCGGGACAGTCAGTGCTCCCTGTATAGTGCTGCTCTCTGTCTTGGGATATTATACACAAACAGACCTGAATTATACAGAGAGCAGCACTATACAGGGAGCACTGAGTGTCCCAATTTATTATACACACATCCCTGTATTATACAGAGAGCACTGACTGTCCAGGGATATTATACCCAGACAGTAATTGATAGCTGTGCTGCAAAATGTCCTTGGAATTGTTTTTTAAAATGTTGGCAACTATGGCACTGTATCAAGGGTAATGTGTTTGTTTTTTTAATAATCCCTGGTGGAAAATAATGAATCCTCCACCAGGCATTATTAAAAAAAAAAAAAAATTTTTTTTTTAACATGCGACAGGGGCGGGGTCAAACTGCAGTGAGGGCAGGGTTAAATGTGCCCCCTACTTTTGTCCCTGGCCCTCCATGTGCCCCCCCCCTAAAAATGAATCCTAGAAACGCCACTGCCCTTCGGATCCTCCAATACAGTAAAACTGCACATTTCAGAGTGGTCTTTTATTGTGGACAGCCTAAGGCACACCTGTGCAATAATCATGCTGTCTAATCAGTATCTTGATATGCCACACCTGTGATGTGGATGGTGTGACGGAACACCTGCCACCCCAACTGGGTGCCTCTGTCAAACGATGCTCCTAGTGCTCTCCAAGAACCATCAGCATCGCACTCAACACCACAACCACCACAAACCCAACAAACCACCGCAGCTTGGTTGGGTTTTCGCCATCCTCCACCCACCCTGGACCCAAGACCGGGCTCCAGCTTCCAGTGGGTGGACCTCTCCTAAATCCAGAGAGCAGGAACCAGGAATAAGAAAAGCTCTTACAAGAGCTAATGATGATACTCTGGGGAGTATAGTGATTATAGAAATCCCCAGAGTGTAGGTCTCCAATCTCCAAAATATGAGCCAAGACTTCATGAAGGGGTAAGCAGGTCTGTTTAATGAGCACAAAGGCATTTCTTATATACAGTTTTCCTCACAAGGTTACTCACGTGGACCTTGTGGAGCACAGGGCACAAAGTCACAACAGCCAATCAATGCAGTATTCTATAGTTAGACACTCCCAGCTAATGTACACAAACCCTCCCCTCTGCCTCTGATACAATTACCAAACACAATGGACTAACTCAATTACCACAGGCAGAAAATATCCAGTTTTACCCAAAGTCCAGAAACACCCCAAAATAACAACATATCTCCACAAATTGAAGTCATAGTTGACCGACCGCAAGCATGGCTTTCATGCACAAAACAGTTCCACAGATTTAGGCTGTGCGCCCGGTCTATCTTCTCCTCTATCCTGGAGATGGATTTTCAGGGGACCCGGTCAGTGGTAGTGGTTGTATTAACTTAATTATCTCCAGTAATAGGAAATATCTCTAAGTCAAAAACTGTTACAAAAACCACATAAAAATACACAACTCTTATAATACAATGTTTAACCTATATGTCCAACGTATCCCCAGATAGCTTGGATCTGAGCGCTCAATATGTCCGAAAAGCGCTCAGTTCTCTCAAATACAGTTGGTTCGCCATGGGGTTAAACAATAGCAAGGGCTGATGGGAGATTGAGGAGGGACAAAGCAGCCAAACTGGTCTGGCCGTGTCCCTGGGAAAATGCCCTGCTGGAGAACAATAGGACAGGAAAAAGGGGGAGGGGAAGAGGCACATTTTCCCATGGATTTAAAGGTGCAGAAAAAGTGTTTTAAAATCCAATAAGCCCAAATAAAGCTTTTAAAGTGCAATACATCCCAGGGGCCATAGTCACAGGGCAGGCGGGCTGGCAAGCAAGCCTCTCCAAATCCCAGTGACAAAGGTGTATTTGTCACAGATGAATTATCTCGGCAAAGGAGAAGTGCTCACTAACACAGATTTAGACAGATTTGTGAACAATATTTGTGAGAAATAGGCATTTTATGTACATAGAAAAAGTCTTAGATCTTTGAGTTCAGCTCATAAAAAATAGGGGTAAAATAAAGTGTTGCGTTTCTAATTTTGTTCAGTGTAAATAATTTTTATTCTGGTGTTTTGAAAATATTACACTATATTGGTCCATTGAATCAAGACACCAATTATATCCACAGGCAGGGATTGTACCACCCAGGTGCATATATTTGGAGCTAATTATCAGCTTCAGAAAACTTTGGATTGGTGGACACCCCTATAGCGCCCCTTTTATTCTATGGATATGGAGGATAGATTTTGGAGGAACATCCTCTTAGGATGATCTATTAAATGGTGGCGAACACTGAATTGCAGACCTACCTCCTGGATCTGTTTCAAACTGTAGTACCTGAAATTCACCCAGATCTGCTATTTGTGGACAGAATCCACCAACTTAGAAGACCCTAAACAGTTATCCCTTTTAGCACCAAGAGACATAACCCCTAGGGTCCAGGCTAAAGCCAGCAGAAAGCTAACTTACCAGATCAATACAAGACCAATAAAGTTTTTTTCAGATCTTTCTATGAATACTTTACAATTCAGGAAATCTTTGTATCCACAGAAATTGCCTATCAATGGTGGTTCCTGGCAAAACTTCTTGTTCATCATAATGGAGCTCTTCACTCAGTGAACTCCCTGAATGAAGGTTTGCAAAGACTTTGTCAAAGACTAATACCTATACACACAAACTATGGAGCCCATTCCCTATACACAAAGACATATTACTGGGCCTTATAGTGGCTGGACTTAATGTAGATAGGCATATAGGAAAAGGTAGAGAATGGACGGACTGGTCAAGGTCAGGAGAGGAGATGGAAGGATAATCGTAGATCAAAGCCAAGGGTCTAGGATACCAGAGTAACGGATAAAATAGATACAATAAATAATAATAATTTTTGACAAAACTCTAAAATACTAAAACTACATAAAAAAACAAATATTTACAAATGTCCACAGGCGTCAGATGTCATCTGAGACACATTTTGCCACATATATGGACTTTCACACTCAGTGAAATTTTTTTTATTTTTTTTGGATCATATAAGTCCTTTTGGCTCAACAAGATATGTGCCTCTTAAAGAATGGTTGATTTTTATTTTATTTGGCGTAGACATTGTAAACCCAGAGCCAGGTCGTGTTAGGCTCTGGAAAAGGTGAATTCTTGGTAATTCATGGATTCATGACTGAGGTGACAAAGTGTTCACCAGACTTTACTTCTCTTACATACCTTTTATTAGATTTTCCCAGAGGTCTCCTAGAGACAAGCAAAAATTAGAATTTATTATTTTAACAATGCAACCCCAAATAGCAAGGGCTTGAAAAGCCCCTTCCGCCCCAAGAACGGTAAAAGTGATCACAGAAATAAACAGCACATGTATGAACAAAAATTCTAACCCATTTTCTCTCCCTCCAAAAACCTTTATTGATGCTTGGACTCTGTGGAAAACCTGGTGATTGGCAACTCTTAAGAAGTGTAATCAGAGGTCAGGGCCAGATTAAGAGCCCAGTGGGCCCGGTGCTGACAATTATGACGGGCCTAATAACAGAATCATATCGACCGAAAACAGTAAAAAACTCCCAAGCATCATGTATCTGATGGAGATGGTGCTGGAGAGAAAGAAAACAGCAGCTATAAGAAAACACATACCCTAGGCTAATCTCTCTAATTTATGTTTTC